GAGAGTTTGTGGGTATATAGAATGTGGGTGTGGGTATGTAGAATGAGTGGGGGGGTGGGTGGGGGTGTGTGTGGAATGTGTGGGTGTGAGGGTGAGAGGGTGTGTGTGTGGGTGTATGGGTGTGTGGAATGTGTGGGTGTGAGAGGGTGTGAGGGGGTGTGAGTGTGTGGGTGTGTGGAATGTGTGGGTGTGTGGAATGTGTGGGTGTGAGGGTGTGAGAGGGTGTGTGGGTGTGTGGAATGTGTGGGTGTGAGTGTGTGGGTGTGTGGAATATGTGTGTGGGGGGGTGTGAGTGTGTGGAATGTGTGTGTGTGGGTGTGTGGGTGAGAGGTATGGGTGTGTGGAATGTGTGGGTGTGAGGGTGTGAGAGGCTGTGGGGGGGTGTGAGTGTGTGGAATGTGTGGGTGTGAGGTGTGTCCAGGTGTGTGGGTGTGACGGTGTGAGGATATGTGGGTGTGTGAGTGTGTGGAATGTGTGGGTGTGTGGGTGTGGGTGTGTGAAGAGCACTTGGCCACCTGACCTTCAGTTGGTCTGAGGGAGCTGTTCTGGTGACCAGTGTCCGGTGTCCAGGGCAGCAGGGTGGTACCAAGGGTCACAGACGGATCCCACCCATGGGTAGTTTCCCTGCCACCTGGCTCTGCTGCTGTATCGGTGACGGTAACGTCGTGCTTCCTGTGACCTACGACCTGTGTCTAGGTCCTAATGCCACCATACTGGGAGTGTGTTTTGCGGCTCCTCGACAGCCCTTGAGCCCCCAGGTGTCACTACAGTCGGTCCCTCCCTGCCGACCAGCTGGACTGCTCGCAGGGTACGGGCTGGACCTGGTGCGGGGGTGCGGCCCCAGCACCCCCTCAAGCCCCGATGCTGTCAGCTTTGGGTCCCAAGCTCTGCCGCTCACTGTCCGGGACTCGGACCTTCTGGACCCTGAAGCAGAACCAGAGGGACCAGGGCTGCAGATGGGCCCCGATGTGACCTAATCACACCCGTGTGGGGGACAGCGGCCAAGACTGGCAGACATGGCATTCTGACCAGGTAGCCCGAGCTGGTCCAGGAGAGGGTCTTAGCTCATCTCGTCCCGTTAGGAATGGGCTGTGCCCTCAGGCACCCCAAGCCCTCGGCGCAGGCCCGTCCCCCATCTGAAGGAGGCTCACGCTCCACACGGGCCTGGATGGATACCGTGAGGGGAGACATGGGCAGAGATGAGCTGAGCGGGAGAGGGTGCCCGCCAGGCCCAGCCAGGAGAGGCCAGGAAGCTCAGGACAGCTCAGGGATGAAGCCCCCTCGCTCTCCTGGCCCCAGGCCTCGCCCCAGCCCTGCCACAGAAGGTGAGGCTGCCCGTCAAAGGGTCATAAACGGATCCCACCCATGGGTAAGGGACAGTTCTCAATGACAAAACACTCAGCCAATGGAATACTGTGCAAGGGCTGAATTGTTAGGCATTAAATTTAGGAAAAAAAAAAAACCAGTAATTAAAATGTTAAAGAACTCTCCCTCGGGAGTAGGAAATTGCCTTCCTCTCCCAACCTCTAAAATGTGTTCAGAAGGGCCAGGAGTGAGCTCCATGGTACATCACTTGCCTAGCATGCATGAGACCCTGGGTCTGGTCCCTAGCACTGCAAAAAATGATAACAATAAAACAAAATACATTTAGATACTGATAACTAAGTAGATAAAAAGCAATTTCATCCATTCCTCATGGATGGTCTCCTATTGGTTCAAGTGGGTTATTACCTTGCAGAACTAGAAAGAAGTGCTGGGGGCAGCTAACTTTATAAAGACAAAAGGTTTGCTCAGCTCACAGTTTTGAAGGGCAAAGAGCCTGCCTTCGCTCTGTCCTGGTGACGCCCTGTGCCAAATGGTGATCAGCAATGGAGGAAGCTGTGTCGGAGTAAGCAACCGTATCTGGACCCAGACAGAGAGAGACTGGCTCCCAAATCCCTGAGGACACGCCATAGGACCTGAGGCCCTACGGACCTCCCTGGGCCCCACCTCTTCAACAGTTTCACAGCATCTTCCAACGTCATCGCCCTAGGGACCACCTTTAATCCCAACGAACCCTTGGGGGACACCCTATCCGCGCCCAAACCAGCAGTTATACATACGCGTAGGGCCCCAGCGCTCCCTTGCGGCAGCAACGGAGCCGCCCGAACTGGGCGCCTCACCTCCCCATGTGGTGTGGGAAGCTGACGGCGCCCTGGAAGAACCTGGCGAGAAGGTGAACGAGCAAGTGCACGTGGGTGGTGCCTGCTTGTGCGCACGCGCATGTGAAGGCTCCTGTGAATAGTGGGTGCCCTCGTGGCCACGTGGTCTGTTCAGCTGTCACCCTTAAATACTTCCGTTTCCCTAAACTTGGCGCCCCACCCCACCTGTGGCCAGGAGGAGCCAGGGCAGAAGCCAGGGCAGGGCAGGACCAGGGCAGGGCAGGATCCAGTCACCTCCCCCAACCCCACCGCTCACCCCCTGCTTGTCCTGGGGACACAGGCTCGCAGAGACCTCACCCACCCCAAGCGTCTCCTACGATTACATAATGCTAATTGCCGGCTTTGTGTTCCATTTGGCAATTTGTTCAAGTAATTGAACAAAATATAACTAATGAACAATTATAATGAAGTTCATAATTAGGTCCTTGAAACTTGACATGGAAAATATTTCAGATGCTTCTTAAAAGCCGCACTCGGGAGAGGTGAGGCCGACTTGGAGATGCAGAAAGCAGTGAATGGCTCTCAGCGGGACCGAACAGTCCCCGCCCACCATTCACCATCCAAGTGTCAGTTCCCGCCCATAGCCCTCACCCACCAATCACCATCCATGTGGCAATTCCCACCCATAGCCTCACCCACCAATCACCATCCAGGTGGCAGTTCCCGCCCACCAATCGCCATTAGAGTGTTGGCTCCCGACCACAGCCTCAGTCCACCAATCACCATCCAGGTGACAGTTCCCTCTCACCACCCACCAATCATCATCCAGAAGACCGCTCCCAGCACAGCCCTGCCCACCAATCACCATCAAGATGACAGCTTTCGTCCACGGCCCTGCGAATGAGAACACGGAAGTGGGTGGACGACCCCAGCTGGGCCCTGGGGGGTGGACCTGGAACAGGAGTTGCCTTCCTCCATTCAGTTGGGCAGCGCGTCCCTGAAGGTGGCCAGGCCATCCGGCTGCCCTGCGTGGGGCCTTGCCAGGACCTGGCACCGGAAGGCCCTTAGAAAGTGCATCAGGGAGCACGGAGCCCGTACTGCAGGGGACCTCCTGCCCTCCTCTCCAGGTGGACAGTGACGGGACGGCCACAGACCCCTGGGGTGGAGCTGTGGTGGCCACTCAACAGCCAACCAGTGGAGAAACCCGGCAACCCACACCGCCAAGTGGTGCAGGTTTCATGGTCAGGAATGGACCGAGGGACAGCTGGTGGCCCCAGTACGTGTTCCACGGGGCCCGGGCTCACCTGTGTGTGGCCCTGCCAGGTATTCGTAACCTAATGGAAACCCGTCATCCTCCAAACATCAACGTCCTGGAAGGAAAAGGAAGTCCTAGGAGGAGCTTCTGACGAACAAAACGAGGAACCCCGCACTCACTCGGCTCTATCCGGGACTTTATTCTGCTATAAAGGACATTATTAGGCAATAATAATGTTATCAGTAAATCAGATAACAGCGGTGTCCGTGTTAATTCCCTGTTTTTGATCATTGTGCTGTGGCTATTTAAAAGAAAATCCTCATTTATAGGAAATACACAGTAAAGGATCTCGGGGTTGTTATGGTTCAGATATGAGGTTCAGAAGCCCAAGTGTGGTGCGGTGCAAGAATGTTCAGAGGTGACATGACAGGGCTATGAGAGCCTCAACCCAATCAGTTAACTGGGCCATAACTGTAGGCAGGTGGAGTGGGGCTGGAGGAAGTGGGTCACTGGGGGCTGCCTTGGGGTTTACATGTTGTCCCTGGAGAGTGCAGCGCTCTCTGCTTCTTGGTGGCCATGTCTGGAGCTGCTTCCCTCCACCACACCCTTCTGACATGACCGTCCACCTGACCACAGGCCCGGAGCCATGGAGTCGGCCAACCACAAACTGACTTCTGAAACTGAGCCAAAACAAACGTGTGCTACTCTACACTGTTTTTGTCAGGTCTTTTGGTCACAGAGACACAAAGCTGACTAACCAGGATAAAGGAATATCTGCAACTCGACAATTCAGAAAAATGCATGTGTGTGTGAGAGAGAGGAGGCAACTCACGGCTCCAACCCTAGGGTCTGATGGCTGGAACTGTTTTGCTATTCTTACAGTCTTCCATTAATGTTGAAATCATGTCAAAACACAAAAGGAAAAACACAAAAAGAACCCAGGTACCTGCTTCCCAGCACCCTTTGGAGCGAGGGGTGAGCACAAGACCATTATGGTGAGTGAATTGGAGGGGAAGGCTGCTGAGGATCTTCTGGGGAAATTTTTTTCCCCTTAAAAATAAGAAACAGCTACAAAGAGAAGCCTCACCGCGCTGGTCGGCTGTCAGTGACATCGGTGTGTAAGATGTCGTAGCTGCAGCAACTATCTTGTGACCATGAGGAGAAGGCCAAGAAACCCCCAGATATCATGTCCCAAGTCCTGATATGAGGTCAATGGGATCATCCAGTTCCTGTCCTCATCAAATCCCATCCATCATGCAAGGCCCAGCATGACAGCATATGTCACTCAGGACCAGGGGCGAGGGAACGCCCATGCCAAACAGTAAAGGAGACCCCTGGAGGCCTAGAAGTGGTTCTGTTCTGCTCACAACTCACCCATCTGTGCAGACCACACTGGTCGTGAAACCCCAGTCCCGACTCAGTCTTGAGGGAGTTTCATGCCTGAGTTCTGCCCCTTTTCCCAGACCCTAACTTCCTCCTGGTGAAGTTTTTCTGAAGCACTGATACTCAGGCTTTTCCTCAAACCATTAAAATCGGGATCTGGGCCTGGAAACCGGCATTTTATGATTGAGCTACAACACATATATATAGTCCACTGCAGAAGCTTAAGTCGACATCTCAGTTATTTTTATTGTAGTAAAAATATACATAACTTTATATAAAGTGTCAAAATTACCACGTTAGTCATTTTTGAGCATACAACTGAACGGCAGCATGCGATGCCAAGATGCAGGGGCTCTCAGCACATTCACGATGCGGTGCGAATCTCTCCTGTGAGTTTCCAGAACTTCTCTTCCCCAGCTGAACCTCCCAGCCCATCAGATGCCAGCTCCTCACTCCATCTCCCCCAGGTCCTGCTAACCCAGTTCTGCCATGTCCACTGTCGTAGGTGCCCGTGCAGCCAGAGCCACGTGCTCTGTCCCGGGCACTGTGCTGCCTGTCAGCGGTGCAGTGTTCACCAGCGCCACCTGGCAGCACTTCTCTGTGCTTCATTCATTTCTGTGGCTGGACCACGTGCCATGGAGTGGCTGCACCACACCTTGTTAATGCAGGACACTGTGGCCGCCTCCGCCTTCGGGATGCGGTGAAGGAGGCCACGCACGCTGTATGCAGGCATCTGTGTGAGGGCAGGTCTTTGACTTCCTGAGGGGCCCACGCTCTTCTCCACGGTGGCTGCACCATTTTACATTCTGAGCAGCCACACACAAGGGTTCAAGTTTCCCTGTGTCCTCGCCCAAGCCCTGTTTCTTTGTATACAGAAATGAACTCCAGTGGGGACAGAGCTAACAGTTGCCCAGGACCCCCATGGGGATGGCTCTTGTTAAAAAGCTCCCCAGCACCCAGGGTTGAGGACCATCCCCTGCATCTTTCGTCTTTCTACCTCCGAGAAGGCTGGCTAACTCATACCCTAAAAATAAACCGGCGTCTGAAGACAGAATATTAAAAATGACATTGTCACCTTGACAGAGTGGCTAATAACGCCACAGCGGACAGGAGTCCATCGATCATGGGCTGCTGTTTCCGTCTGGGGAGCTGGGAAGAGACCTAGATGGAGGCCTCAGCCCCACTTCCCTGTGATGCCCCCCAACTGCACGCGTGGCGTCCAGCAGCCAGGCAGAGGCGCTGACCTCCCGGATTCAATTTGCAAGGTCAACCATGCAAAAACGCAGGACTAATAGAATTGTCACCTCTGTGTCACGGCCATTTACAACGCACTCTTGCTGAGTCTGAACATGAAAGCAATTATGTGATACATACTTTGGCAAGAACCCGAGGTCCCCATCCAAGGGGGAGTGAGATGCAGCTGAGGCAGGTTATTTTAAAAAAAAAAGAAAGAAAGAAAAAAATGAAGAAAAGTCACAAAGATACATTCATTATGAAAAATTTCAAAATTTCCCCTCCTCTGGAAATCACATAGGAACTTAGGAGTCAGAATCGTTTGAAAGCCCCATTGTCTTAAGAGTATAAATAGCACCTTTAAAAAACCCACAATTTCAATCAGGCTGGAATAATAGGAAGAACCATTCATGGAACGCTGTCTTTTAAAACTTCATGACACGTGAATTGATCCTCACTCCAGATCTAATTAGAGGCTCTAGGCATATGGGAGTCTGTGATGGTGTCAAAGCCACGTGGAAACCGCACTCACGATTGATCTTTTTCACCCGGGTATGATTTTTTTTTTTAATCAATCCACACACTTGGGAACCACCCAAGGAAAGGCGCCCAAACAGGAAGCACCCAAAGGGGATCCTCTCCCTCTTCCCAGAAGCTCTCTCCAAAGACCACGTGCCAGGAAGGGGTGGCAGGAGCCTGGCCCCACTGGAGCTGCTGACCTGCACCCCTGCACGAGGCTCCTGCAGCCTGGTGGCCCCGGGAGTCCACCTTCTCTACGGTGGGGCTCCTCCACGTGAGCATCCAGAAGCCAGACAGAGCTGCACACATTAAGGCGAGAATGTCCCCAAGGCCCAGTGCTCCCCAGTGTGGCAGCACTGGAAGGGGGTGGGGCCTTTAAGAGCGGGGGGCGTGGGGAGGTCCTCAGATCCCCGGGTGTACCATTGAAGGGATGGTGGCCCCCTGGCCCCCTGGCCCCTTCCCTTCCCATCTCTTCTGCACCCCCTCTGCTCTGCCCTGGGATTCCTCCATGATGCATGGCCTCACTACAGGCCCCCAAAACAGTGGGGCCAACTGCTCGTGGGGCTGGAACCTCCAAAGCTGTGATCAAATCAACCCTTCCTCTTTATAAGCTGCTAACCTCAGGTGCTTTTGTTACCATCACAGAAACCTGCCCGACACCTGCCCTGCCCCTACGTCCCTGGGCATCGCCTCTGCCATACCCCATGAGAAAACCACTCATCAGCCACCACGGAGGCGCCAGACACCCCCATGGGAAGGGCCGGGCACCTCTGCCATTCTCCTGGCCTGCCCACCCCCGGGTGCCTCTCTTGGCAGAGGACGTGGAGCTCCAAGGGCCACCATCTCACCGATGATTCACCCAGAGGCTCCCACAGGAGGCTGGCCTCCCTCTGCACCAGCGGGCCTCCAGCCAGAACAAGCCAGTGTCATTCGCCTTCATTATGCAGGGACACCCAGGACCAGGCACACAGACTTCTCCAGAACCCTATCTGGACTCCTTCAGGCACGAGCCAGGCCGGCCTTCAATCCTCTGTCCTCCTAAAGCAGGGCCTTCTCGGACTCACTCCTGAGGCCTCCACAGCTGAAGGCCAGCACAGTGCTCCTTCCTGACCTGGGGTTCAGCCACTTCACGATGCCAGGGCAACCATGTCCCCGACCCCGGCACCCCAGGTCTCCTGTGCAGCTTCCCCACTCTCAGCCCACCTGCCCATCCTCCAGGGAAGGGGTGGGCTTATGACCCAGGTACTGCCATCAGAACCTCCCATTCCCCAGATGTCACAGTTGGTTCAGAGATGGGCATGTGACCTTGGGCCGACCAAGGAGACTCTTTACCTAAGAATGAAAGACTGAAGTCTGCACAGAAGTGGAGACAGGAGATGGTGACATGAGGGTAGCTGGCATCCCGTGTGTACCTGTTACAAGCCAGCACAAATGACAGGCACCGCCTCAACCCCGCCACCTAATAACAGTCTTAATACCTGCACTACAGATGGAGGAAACAAGGCTCAGAGAGGGCGAGTAACCTGCCTGTGGTCACACAGGGGTGAAGCCACCATTCAGGTGTAGGCACTTGGTTCCAGTAAATGGGGCTGCTCAAGTCAGGAGGCCCAGCTACGTCTGAATTCCAGATATGCAATATTTGGGACACACTGACATTTAAAAAGCTATTTAGGCTGTGTGTGTGGTGGCTCTCGCCTGTAATCCCAGCAACTCGGGGGGCTGAGGGGGGAGGATCACAAGTTCAAAGCCAGCCTCACCAACTTATCAAGGCCCTAAGCAACTTAACGAGAGACCAGTTGGTGCTGGGGTTTCTGTTACTTGTCGCCAACAAAATCCACAGTCGTAAATGAAAAGAGGAGTGGACACCCGTGCCCTGACCGCAGCCAGCAGGCAGAGGAGAGCCCAGGGCTGCAGGGAAGTCGGCCCATACCATGCGGGGCCCACAATGGCCACCCTCTTTGACACTCCCGAAATCACCTGCTGTGCTACTTGAGCCAGTGAGACAAGAGAAGGGACAGACAGAGGGACCAGAGAGGACAGAGCCTGGAAGCCTCTCCAGAGCACAGTGAGCCACCCACGTCTCCTAGAGGTCATCTGATGGAGTACTGGACTATTGCTCACCTCTGCAGTGGCCAGAGGGCCATGCAACAGGGGAAGCTATGACCACGGAGCCAGCGTGGCCAGGAGTGTGGGGACACCTCCTTCACAGGCCTTTACTACTGCCCATGACGGGGACAAGATGGCCGAAGGCTGTTAGAAATGGTGTGTGCGGACACCCAGGGCAGCTGTGGCTAGCAGAGGATGGAGCACAGCTCCTTAAAGCCTCTTGATGGCTCTGCTGCGTCTAGGGCTCTGTGGTGGGCCACTCTGCTCTGCGCGCAGGTGCTGGGGTGACAGGGAGAGAGGAGGGGAGGGCGGCAGCTGTGCCTGAAGCTGTTGCCAGACAGAGGCCAGGGGAGGCCAGGCGGAGGCACTGCCCTGGGCCCCACACAGTGAGCTCCCAGCCAGCCAGGGCACTGCTGGGCCCAAGTCCCAGTGGCCTCCTGGAGCCCTCAGAACACGACCCACCACCTGGAGCCGCTCCCCACTCACGTGCCCTGCAGTCCCCACGGGGCCCCTGCCGTCCTCTAGATGAGGTGGTCCCCTCGCAGGCCTCTGCCTGGCTGGTGGCCCTCCAGTCTTCACATGGTGGCATCACACTCTCGGACAGTGGCTCTGGTATCCCCAGGAGAGGCACGCTAGCTGCACCTCCACAGCCGCCGCCTCCGCCACCTGGCCCCTGTGGGACCCCACACTCAGGTGGGCACATGAGTTAGGACAGAGCTAGTCCCTGGTCCTGCGGAGCCCCCAAGAAAAACCATCCAATTGGGACACAGAAAGTTGTTCCTGAACTGGAAGACACAGAGGGTCAGGCCAGTGTCCTCTGGCCTTGGCAGCTGCGACTGGAGGAGCCTCCCCACTCACCTGCCATGGTCACTGGGCTTCTGTCCTCGCCCTGAGCACAGGCAGCATGCAGGGTGCCCACGGCCCGTCCTGCTGGGGCCAATGTGTGCACAACATTGGCCTCAAGGGTGCATGTGCACAGACAATAGTCACACGTCTACACCCGTGCGCTGCTCACTTGGGTGCATGCACACTCACACTCCCCCAGCCTAGCGTGGCGGAAGCCGACCTGCAAGCTCCTACCTGGCTGTTGAGCCTTGGGCACAATCAGGCCTTGCCTCAGCTCTCCAGCCCCCGGTCAGGGGCCCCAGAGGGGAAAGTGCCCTGCCTGTGGGGAGGGGGCTGGAGATGGACATAGAGGCCCTTCCCCCATGGGAGGGACTGTGGCCGTCACCAGTCACCATGCCCGCCCTTCCTTGCCACGGATGGTCGCGGGAGGGCCCGGCACTGTCTGGACAGATGCCTTTCAGACTCCCACGCAGCTGAGCACACTGTGAAATGGCCATGGCCGGAGGACATGAGCAGAGTGGACAAGGCCCCTCCTCCACGCCCCTGTCCCAGTGTGGATGAGACCTTCATACAGAGGACGGTGTAGCCACCAGACCGAAGGGCGACCGCCCCTGGCCTGGCCCCGCAACTCACAAGGCCCTGGAGGAGCATCTGAAGACCTGAGGGAGGGTCCCTTCTGTCCCCCTGCAGCCTGTGACAGAGGCAGATGCACCGGGCCCAAGAGGAGTGGATTTCAGGTCACCTGCAGGTGAGGCAGACAGGAAGCCCACGGGGACCCATCTCCGGCGCTCGGTGCAGTGAGGAGGAAGGGGGCAGGTACCCCAGCTCCTGCCCCGTGAGAGCACCTGCCCAGGCAGGAGGGAGCTGGGCAGGGGAGGAGGGTGCCCATTTGGACCAGGCCAGCTGCCAGAGCTCCCGCCCACCTGGGAGACAGCCCTGGGCAGGCCACCGTGAAGCTGCTCCAGCAGGGCCTGGGGGGAGGGAAGGAGGACGAGGGGCGGGGCAGCCTGCCCATCCCAGCGAGGAGAGGGCAGCCAGCCAGCAGCTGGGGGTCCTCTAGAGTCTTAGCCAAGGCAGCTCCACACCTGTGACCAGTGGCTGTGGTTCCAGCCCATCTGCCACTCACTAATGAAGCTGTCCAGCGGGGCTCAGTCAGCCTGGGCCTCCTGCAGGAAGCAAAGGGCACACTAATTGGGCCTCCTCAGGTGCCATGGATGCAGCAGGTGTCCCTAAGCACCTGGCAGGAGAACAGGGCCTTGTGGATGGTGGCCCCAGCCCTGGCAGGGGCAGCAGGGCCTGAGCTCAGCCTCCCCAGGCAGCTCCACCTTCCCAGCGGCCGCTCCTTGCTCCTCAGCAGCAGGTGGTTAGCAGGGAGCAGCCCCGGAGATGTCCATCCTCACCCCAGACCCTGGGGCATGACGTGGTTTGCAGGATGTGTGTTGGGGGCCTCGTTGGCTCCTCAGCTAGTGGGAAATGGGAACGATACCCTAGGTCACTCCCAGGGCGGTCACAAGGGTCCTGTGGCTGGCCTGGTGCTGGGCCGCTGCACAAGGACAGCTCCGGGGCCACAGCAGCTGCAGGTGGAGGGACAGCCACCACCCGGCAGTGGTGACCTCTGACTCCCAGACCCACAGCAAGCGGGGAAAGTGGGTCACAATGGCCATGAGAAGCTGACACCGAGGGTGGCGTTCCTGTCGGAGCACCCCATCCCCCCGCAATTTCGACCAAGAGTCTGAGCTGGCCCCTGAGGCTGCACACACGAGACAGTGATGTCCCAGAGAGCCATCGCTTTGCTGCTGAAAGGATCCAGGAGACAGGCCTTCTGCTCTGCCCAGCCCCCGCGGCTTCTGCCTTCCTGTCGTTGTAGACACAGGGAGGGAGATAGCCGCCCAGTGACCACGTGACCAGACCAAGACAGCATGCACTGGGGACGGCAGGGAGCAGGACATAGGGGGTGACAGGACAGGACCTGGAGCCGTAGGGTGCTGGCCTCACACCAACAGCAGTGCCTGTGGCCAGCTGGCCACTAGCCCATGGCTAAAGCCCGGGGTCTTAAAGGGCTGCCAGGGTTTGGGCTGAGCAGCTCCAGGGCACAGTGGCAGCAGCACCTGACAGCAGAGCTCGTCTGGTGCACAGAGACCCGGCCATGTCCCCAGAGAGGACACAGCAGGCCCGTGACAGCAGAGCCTGGCCTGGAGCACAGAGACCCAGCCATGTCCCCAGAGAAGACATGGGGCCCCTGACAGCAGAGCACAGAGACCCGGCCACGTCCTTAGAAAGGACATGGGGGCCCCAACAGCAGAGCCCAGCCTGGTGCACAGAGATCAGGCCACACCCTCAAAGAGGACACACAGCGGCCCCGACAGGCGTGGTGCACACTGTTATTTATTGCATGAACCCTCCAGTGCTCCCCTGTGTTCTCATGAGCTAGAAGAATAGGACTCGAGGAGGCGTCTCCTGTGCTCAGCTCCGCTGACCACAGGGCCAACACCAGGGCTCCTGACATCCGCGGGCATGCTGACCTCAGAGGCACAAGCCACCCGCCCAGCTGCCGAGACCCATGACTCCCTGACAAGTGCCAGTGACACGACTTCAACAGTAATGTCCTGAGGACTCTCAGGTGGAGCAAGTGCAAGGAGGCCTTTCCCAGAGGCCCAGGCAGCCCTGCTGGCCAGAACCACGGTGACCACACTGCCTGCTGTGCAGCCTAGAGGGCTCGCCAGGGTACCAAGGGTGACAGGGTGCACAGGCAGCACCAAATGGTCCCCATCAGAACCCTAACCAACACAGAATCACCCTAACCACTCAAAGTCCATGGTCCGGGGCCAGGAGGTGCTGTTTGGCCGGGGTGTGACGCGGTGCGTGAGTCCTGGCCTGGGGTCCCAATGGCCAGCTGTGGAAAGACGGTGACAAGCCAGGCAGGTGTCCCTGGTAGGACTAGTGCCCCATGGTGGAGGTGCCCTGAGGAAAGCGGGAGGGCCAGGCGTCGAGGCTTCGGGAAGGGACTATTTGACCTTCACAGAGGGGAACAGGACATGGGCTCGCAGGCTGGGCTATGCCGCTCCTTGGGTGGGCGCTGCCACCTGGGCCCAGCCAGCACCGCAAGGCCTTCTCGCAGGGTGAGCAAGGCCATGTGCAGACAGCGCTCGGGGACAGGCCACAGTGGGCCAACCTGCCTTCCAGTCCGAAGGTCAGCTCCGTCCTTGCGCACCAGACTGAACTCCGAAGCAGAAACGATGCCCCAGGCCAGGGAGTGCTTGGCCACGTGCCCCCCACAGCCGTGGATGTGTGAGTAGTTTGCTGACCGTGAGCGGCGTGCCCAGGCGGCTCAGAAGCCCTGCAGCTCCGGGATGTTCTGGTACAGGTCCAGGGTCTCGGGGTTGGAGAAGGCCCCGCGGTGCTCCACGGCCTGGCCTGCCAGGATCTGCTTCACGGCCACCTCCACCTTCTTGCCATTGAGCGTGTACTGCATGGGAGATAGGAGACAGAGCACAGAGGTGAAGCCCAGGCAGGGAGAGCGAGCAGGGCTGCCGGGGACTCAGAAGCCACCCTCACATGCTTCCTGAGCCTCCCGGGCTGCCCCCACCAGCGTCCAGAGATGCCATGAGGCCCAGACTGACTTTCCTAATGCCCGTCACACGATCGGCTCGAAATGTCACACCCCAGCTGGTCCTAAAGTGGGCACACAGTCGCCACTGGGCCCTTTCTCAGAGCACAGGGTGGGAATCCATGGCTCATCCCCGACTCCCAACAGGCACCTGAGCAGGAAGTTTTTAATGAAGATGTGACCTTGCCACCCTGCCTGGGGGCCTGTGGCAAATCCCTTCGCCTGAGCTGGCTTCCTCCACCGTGAAGTGAGGGTGACTGTGCCTGCCCCAGGGACCATGAGCAGGGGACACAGGTCACCACAAGATGCTTCAGAGGGCCTGGCTATGGTATTCCATTATGGCTGACTCTTACTTCATTCCACGCCCTCGTCATCCACTGCATTACACTACGAGGCCCGCCCTTGACCTCAGGGGGCACTGCCCTCCAGGGCTGGACCTGCCGGCCTCCCCAAGTTCCAGGAACCTCCCCCAGAGGCACCCAGCCCAGGAGGCTGTGGCCTCTTCTCATGGCCGGGCTCTTCCCGAGTGTACAGGGCTCCCTCTGGGATCGGCAGCCGAGCTCCACCGGGAACTCAGCAGGCTGGGCCGCGTGTGCCCGTGGGCAGGACCGCCACAGCCCTTCAGCCCCAGGCCCCATGGCGCCCGAGTTCTACACCAGTTTTTACCCAAGGTGCAGTTAATATTCATGCACTGGAAAGACTCAGCTGATGTGTGACCAGTTAAGGATCTAAGTGCCAGCTTCCCAGGGGCTGCCTGTCACTCCAGCATGTGCCATGGGCCCTCATGGTGCCACCTCCCGGGGGCTGTGCCACACTTCATGTGGGGCTCACGCGCTGGCAACAGCCTCCTCTGGTGGCCAGAAAGAGCCGAGAGCCCTCCTAGCAGCAGGCCAGCACCCAGGTGACCAGGGAGAGGCCCCTGGAACGGGGACACTGGTGGCTACCTGGGGCCCTGCAGCAGGACTCCACGCCCAGGCCCCTCGTCAGGACCAGAGTCTCAAGGCCTTTCTTTAGAGTCAGTGGCCAACCAGCCAAAGACTGGGTTCCCCTCCATCAGACAGGGCCTGCCTCTGAGCTTCCTCATCAGTAAGGGGGACCAAGAAGATAAGCTTGTCCCAGCCACCAGTGTCCCTCCCTCCCTGCCTCCCTCCCTGCCTGCCCTGCTCGCTCAGTCACACTGGCTCAGTCACTAACTCGCTCACTAACACATATACACACACACACTCTCAGTCACTTACACACTCGCTCACTCAAATTCAGGCTCTCTCTCGCTCACCAGCACAGGCCGAGCAGGGAGAAGCCCTGGCCCCCAGCCCCCCAGGCCCTGCGGACAGCGGTGGGTGACGGTGACACGGCAACTCAGAGGGGTTAGGCACGCTGTTGGGATGGGAGGGAGCCAGGGAGGCTGAGTGGGCCACAAGCCACCTCTCTGCTCTTGGAGCCCAGCCATGAGGTGGAGGGGGCAGGTGGCTGACTGGCCCCAGTGACAGTGAGAGCCAAGCCACCAGGCTGACATTCAGGCCCTGAGGCCCCTGTACTGCCAAGCCAGCACTGTCACAGCCCAGCTCAGGGGTGCAGACCAGGCTGGGGGACGCCCATCAGTGGCCCCAAGGCAGGCCTAAGGGAACAGGTAAGCCAGAGCCTAGGGGAGTGCCAGCCAGGACCGTCCCATCCCACGGGGCTCGCAGCTGTCCCTTCTGTCCCAAGCCCTCTCCTCACGCCACAGCCCAGACATGGGGAGGGTCCTGCTCATCTCTCCCGAGCACTCCCAGGGCCTTCAGTTGTTATAGTGGGAGCGGCACTGCTCCAGGGGGCAGACCATGGCCCTAGCCTGGGCAAGGCTGGGGAGCCCGGGGCTCCCCATGCAGGGGCCCTCCCGCCTCCAGCAAGGCCCAGAACTCGACAGCCAGGAACTCAGCTGGCCTCTCCTGAAAGTGACTCAAGCTCCCAGTGACTGTCCCCTGGCCCAAGGACACTAGGGAGCCCCTCCCTGAGCCCTGGTCAGTCCAGACCATGGCATCTGAGTCAGCCTCACGGTGACCTCATGCTCCATCAAGCAGGGGCAGCTGGTGTGGGCAGCGAGGGGCCAGGACAGCAGGGGACAGAGGCTGGAGGAGGGAGGATGACGAGCCAGGGCTCAGGCGCAGTTTGGGAAGGACCTGGCAAGAAGACATGGCTCTTCAACAAGCCCAAGGGACAGAATGGAGCCCTGGGCCCTGAACCGGCTGGCTGAAGGAGCACTGAGACCTCACGGGGGCAGCAGGGCCACGACCCCAGGCGTCCATCTCCCCCCAAGGGGCCGGCGTCTCCACAGACTGTCAGCAAGTCCCCAACCAGGGAGAGGACAGAAGCTCCCAGCAGCAGGTTCTCCGCACAGCCACCATGACGAGGCACGAGGACACAAGGAAGGGAGCCCAGCACCACAGACGTGGACGTGGGTCCAGGGGAAGAGGGCAGCCGCTATCCCCAGTGGGAAGAGGAGGAGCAGCGCCCGCCCCTCCTGCAGAGGTGGCACAAGGACACCAGAGCATCTCTTTAAGGCAGAGACAGTGACCCAGGCTGCTAAGAGGTCCCCAAGTCAGCGTGTGGCAGAGGCCCTGATGTCCCCAAAGCCGTTTCCAGGTGAGCCTGCATCCCACCGCAGCCCCCAACACTCGCCAAAACACAGCCCACTGCCCCCAAGGCCACCACCCCCAAGGCCACCGCCCCTCTGAACAAGCAGCACTTCTGTAGTTCATCCCACGGCCACCATCTTGGGGACTCTGTGCGCAAAGGTGCCCTGGGGCTTGACCCAGAGGCACCGCTCAGCAATGCAGGAGGTCGCTGTGACCCTCTGAGGGACCTGTCTCCTCCCCTAATCCGAGCAAGGTGGGTGGGTGCAGCTGAGGACCTGCCTCTGCGCAGGGCGGGCGCCCAGAGCTCCCGCAGAGCTGGGCCCAGGTCCTCACCACAGCCTGGCGGCCTCACCCTGGCACACCCATGTCATCGGCGGTTCAAGGCCATCCTGGAAGGGAGGGGAGGGGAAGATGGCGCTGCTGGCCCCAGGACCCCGACACAGGCACCAGCTCCGGTGCTGGCCAAGGGACCAGGTTTCCAGGACGAGGCTCGGCACGTACCGGGATGCCCTGGGTCTCCAGGATGAGGCTGGGCACGTGGCGTGCCGACAAGCCCAGGCGGATGGCCTCGCGGACCCGCTTCACCAGCTCGGGCCGGAAGGCATGCCCCGGAGCCATCTTCAGGAAGAGGATCACCCTCTCCTCGCCGTCCCTGTTGTACTGGGGGACACACAGGCTGTCCCCCACCTCCTCGAAGGCTTCCACTGTGGAGGCAGAAGGCCCTTCTGTAAGCTGGGGACACCCATCAACTGGGCGGAAGGCAGGGAGGGTGCCCGGCCACCAACCTGGCAGGGAAGCCCACATCCTGTCCTCAGCCCACCTGGGAAAGTGCCCTGGGGATGTTCATAACCAAGTGGGAGGACAGCCACTGCTGGGAGCCAGTGCTCAGCCACGCCTGGACTGGGCAGGGCCTCCAGGAGCCCATGTGGGCCGGGCTTGCCAGTGACAACTACAATTAGGAAGGTCCCTGCGGTGGCTCTATGGGGGAGGCCAGGTGTCTCTACCCTGGCCGTACAGACTGGGCACTGGCCTGAGCACCAGAGGCAACCCCCTCCCAAGAAGGCTGATTTCAGGGCCTAGGTGGGGCTCCAGTCCCTGGGTCAGGCAGCTCAGCGTGCCCCACGGGACTCCACTGGGCGGTCATGAGACTCGAAGGTTGCACTGACTGCACCTGGTGTCTGCAAGGTGCTGTGTGGCCTTCAGCACTCACACAGCCTCTCTGTGCTTCTGTTCCTTCACCCTTTAAGCCTAGACACCGTCAGCTGGCCATGAGGAAGGAACGTGACAGGGAAGGGGCCGAGTGACCTACAGCCCTTCTGAGGTCTAGGTCTCGGTTTGGGCCACAGGCAAGAAGCTGTGCTTAAATGTCCATCCTCACCCTGGTCAAGCCACAAGGAAGCTGACCAGGAATCGACCCACAGGCACTGCCTAGGACCCAGGCCTGGGTCCTGGGGGGAAGGTAGAGCGGGGCGTACCGATGTTGTAGATCTCCGAGCTGCCGAAGCGCACTCCGTTGGGGTTGAGCGTGCCGTCGCTGGAGAGAGGCAGGGCGTGAGAGGAGCCGTGGCCAGCAAGTCCAGGTCCCACCCAGGCACCAGCAGGCCAGTTGGCAAGGGCCTCACCTCCCACAGCCAGCCCTCCGCGTCCCACGGCCCCCCTGGACATCAAGGGGCCCCTGTCCACAGACTTCAGCCCTCAACACCCTTCTCACCTGCAGTGTCCTCCCTACTGGGGACAAGGCCACACACAGCCCCCCTCCAGTGATAGACACTGGCCAGGCCTTGCCCTGGGCCTCTCACCCCACGAATCCCCCACAACCCAAACCCACCGGGTCGGGAACCAGGGTCAGTCCAGTACAGGGAGGTCACAAGATGGGGGACGTCCACCCACGTGACAGCGAGACAAGGGCTGGGACCCTTCCCCAGAAGGGTCTTGGGTCAGAGACAACACGTACCCAGGCTCAGGGTGGAAGCACAAAGCACCTAGGGCCGGGGAAGGGGTAAGGGAGGGCCCCAGCAGGGCTGCGGAGCACCCCACTCAGGCAGGCATGGTGCCGGAGGGGGGGGCCACCCCTCCCAGGGAAGAGCCTCCTTCCCGGGTCCCCCAGGAGGGTCCTCCAGGGAAGGGAAGCCCACCGGAGCCTCACCTGCGGCCAAGCATGACGATGCCCCCGGTCCTGGGGTTGATTCTGCAGTAGTCACCATGCGCCCAGACACCTGAGAAGAGGCAGAGCCACTGGTCATTCAGGGAATGCAATCAAGGTGGCCTGCCCGGGGCAGATGGGATGCCAGCTGGCGGACACCGCGAGGCCCAAACAGGTGCCACCTGAGGCTGGGGTCAAGAGGGGACCCAGGGAACCAGAAGCTCCTGCCCCAGGAGCAGTCCCATGGCAGGATGGCCATCTACCCAGCTCTGACACGGGGACCTGGGGAGACAGCACCTGGGGACACCAGCAAGGCCACAGAACAAGGAGAGTGAGCCCACACTCAGTGTGCAGGCTCCTCGGGCAGCGGGGCACATGGAGGGCTGAGTATAAGACAAGGCTAGCCTTGGGGAGGGCAGTGGGGGCCAGGCGAGGGCCAGGGCTAGGCTGGGATGACAGCCGTGTGGCCAGGGGAGCCTCCTGCACCAGCACGGAGAGGAACTCCAGCAAACCCGTCCCCTGGGCTTCAGCCTCCGGAAAAGCCCAGGAGCCCCGACCGGGAAGGGAAGCCTCCCAGGGTGGCCGACGGAGGGCTCCGCCCCCCACTTCCCACTTGACTCAGGGCTGACCTACGGCCCTGAGGACCGTCCTCATGAGCCCGCTGGCTCCTGCAGTGTCAGGACAGCGCCCTCGACAAGCCCCGAAGAGTCTTTGGTGGGGACTCGCCCGATGCCTGACTACAGGGAGCTGGGTCCCCACACCCAGGGCCCTGCGAGGAGGGAGCAGCTCACGGGGGCCATCGGCCTCCCGGGCTGAAGATCCGCACCGGAGCGTCAAACATGGGCTTCTAGAAGGTACGACAGAGAAGAGCAGCACCTCAGCTGCAGCAGACCCAGGGGCAGCCCCACCTGCCCTGTCACGTGTGCGTGGCAAGAGTCTCCCTGAATCCAGGGGACATTTCTGGCTTCTCTGGGCTGTTTGGTGCCCGGGCCTGATGACCAAGGCTCTGGAAATGCAGAGGAAAAGGAAGGTGCAGGTGCGCCCAGGAGACCTTTTACGAAAATGTCACCAGGAAGCTCGTCGGCCTCCTGCAAAGCCAAGCTGAGTGGAGAGTCCACGGGAGGCCACTGGCCTTGGTGGCCACGCAGGGAGTGGCTGCTGGCATAGGCCCCAGAGCACACTTCCCTCCACAGTACCCGGCCAGACCTTCGGAACCCAAGCTGCAACTCCAGCCCCACATCTCCTGGAAGCATGGTTTTGTGAAGGGCTGTAGGTGACACCGGAGGCCTCCCGGGGTCTGTCCCTGCCGAGGCCTAAGAGTCCTTCTTAATTCTGCCTCTGACTTATTTTTAAGTGTTTATTATGATTTTTTAAAAATAAGCTAGGGGCTGGGGCTGGGGCTTGGCGGTAGAGTGCTTGCCTAGCACATGCGAGGCCCTGGGATCGACCCTCAGCACCACATAGAAATAAACAAATAAGATAAAGGTATTATTGTGCCCAACTACACCTAAAAAATATTTTTATTTTATTTTTTTTTTAATTTTTTTTAATTTTATTTTATTTTTTATTTATTGTTTTAGTTCTCTGCGGACACAACATCTTTGTTTGTATGTGGTGCTGAGGATCGAACCCAGGCCGCACGCATGCCAGGCAAGCGCGCTACTGCTTGAGCCACACCCCCAGCCCCTAAAAAATATTTTTAAATAAGCCATAAGGAGAATAAAAACGGCCTGTGAACCCACTCCTGTGCCCCTCACTCATTGCCCTGGGTCACTCGCCCTCAGTCATATAGAAATTCTTTTTCAGAATTCACACCAAAGGGACACCTGCCCTCTGTCCTAACCCTCAGATTTCCCCGGCCATCCCCTGGTCGTCCCCCTGCACACGCCCGCCTGCATCTGCCCTGACAGGACAGGGTGCAGGCCTCTGAGCCTGTACAGGAGGGAGGCTCTCTGTGCAGCTCCCTGTGCTGCAGGAGGCCGTCCACTCTGCCCATGGCCAGCAGCCCCAGGTCCCATTCTGAGTCACTCCTGTCCCCAGGAAGTACTGGGGAGCTTCTGTGACGCCAGGCATCAAGATGGCATTAATCAAAGGGACCAGAAACCCACCCAGGGTAAGAGGAGGACCCAGGGCAGGGCTTCCAGCTCTGAGTTTCCAGAACAAAAATGGACGAATGACACAAAGAATTTGTCTTCTCCAAGAAGGAATATCAGAGTCAAAAGAGCTTTCTTCCTGAACTTAGTCCAGAAAGACATTCATCACACAAATCCCTGCATCTGACAAAAATTATAGAACAAAACTGGTCTCCAAGGAGCAGCCCTGCAGAGGACAAGGGGGCATCCTTTCCTGGAAGGATCTCGGATCTCCGAGTGGAGTTTCCAACCCTGTGACCTCCCTTCCCACAGCAGGAGTCCCTCCCAGGGCCATGGGAAGGAAAGAGCACATCCCCACTGTTGAGTCTGCAGGACCAGGTGGGCAGCAGGGGAGGCTGGGCCTCACGGGTACACTGCACCCTGCTTGGGAGGAGCATCCCCCCCAAGCTGGCGCCCAAGGCCAACACGCAAGGACGCAGCCACTCCTGTTTAGTCGCCAGCCACGTTCTGACTCGCACATGAGGAGTGTGCAGAATCATGTGAGCCGGGGGCAGGCAGCGTCCAGCGGAGCGACTGCGGCAGGGGCCTGCTGAATTCTGCCTTCTGCAGCGGCCACTCACGGAGAGGGAGGTGGGACCCCCGGGAGAAGAGACTCCCCTGGCCGGAGCAAGAAGCCGGTGACGCCTCCCTATGCTAAGCCCTCTCCCTCCGCCTCCAAAGGGCTGGGCGGTGGCGCCAGGGCAAGAGGAGGAAGGAGAAACCAGCCCAGGGGTCCCCACCCTCCCAAGGCCACCTGCAGGCAAACCAGGGGCTTGGCCAGCGCCGGCAAGGGGCTGGGTGCAGGGGCAGGTAGGGCTCGGCTGTGCCCAGGGGAGCCTCCCTTGACACAGGGGAGACAGAACACATCCAGGAACAGCAGCCTGCGTGGACACCCGCCCCAGCCTCGGGCTGGGCACAGCACAGGCACAGACCCACCTGGGAACCTGGAGAAGTAGGCCTTGTGGTACTTGCTCCCGTTCTCGTCGTTCCAGAAGTGCGTGGGCTGGCAGGGCAGGGGCTTGGTGCACACCAGCTCTCCGCTCTCCCCCCAGACGGCCTTCCCTGGCAAGGGTAGCGGGAGGTCAGGCCCCGCTCTAAGGCCCTCCTTCCCCAGCTCCTCCAGCCCAGCTCACTCCATGCCTGTGGGGCTCCCAGGAGGCCACACTTGGGTCCACCCCAGCCCCGGCCCCCTCTGCCCCCCTCAAGGGCAGGCTTCACCGTTCCCTGGACATGCAGCAGCACCATCACCGCGTGGCCCACAGCACACACAGGGCTCACGCACGCTGGGCTGCGGGAACGGACCTTGCTGCCCAGCCAGGCCGCTGGATGCCTCAGCCTGCTCTGCTCTGCCGCCTGCGAGAGAGCCCCCGCGCCCTGGCCCTGGCTCCCGCGCTCTGGCCCTGGCCCCGCGCCCTGTCCATACGCGTGCTCAGCTCAGCCCCCCCGAGGACAGGCCTGCCTCTGCTCCCGGCCTTGCTGCCCTCACGGGTCACGGCTAGGGCACTCCTGCATGTCATGTCACCTGCTGGTGTTTGCAGGCGTTTCTCGGGGGGTGGCTTCGAGGTCACAGGTACACAGGTGTCCTGTGCCCACCACCACTGGTGGCTTCCAAAGCATGGCCCCACTCCCGCTGCCTGGATTTCTCCCACCCCTGGGCAGCCAGATTCCGAGCTGGTCACAGCGCAAGCTGCAGAGGAGCGCCCTGGGGCACAGGCAGCCAGCTGACCAGCCGTCCACCCTGCACCTTCCGCCGTCTACACTCCCCCTCTGCAGGAGGCCCCTGACTCTTCCACCTCCCCAGCTCACGCCACCCCACAATGTCCCCCAGACAGAAGCCGACAGGCATTCTCTGTGGGTGTGGAAGGTCCCTGCCAGGGCACCTCCCTCCTGACCAGGCCCAAGAGAAACTTCAGACAGAAAGGAACAACCCATATGAGAAGTCACTCTGGGACCAGGTGGGAAGGGCTCTCCTCCAGAAAGACCAAGGGTGGTAGGGCCCTGGTGTGGCCAATGCCCCTGCCAATGTTTCCCTGAGCCTCACAGAAACAGGGCTGGTGTAGCCTTCCCATCCACTCAGATAAGGAAAGACAATGCAGCAGTGGCCCAGAGAACTTAAGTCCATGAACTTGTTCAGAGTACACGCCAGGCCCTGGTTGGTGCTGGGGACACTAATAGGCTCTGCTGTTTATAAGCAGTTGTCACTAGACCACAAGCAAAGGCCAGTTCCACACAAGACCGGCAGGAAGAGACCAGCAGAGGCCACCTGGTCCCCTCTGGGCCCTCACTAAGGCCAGGACATCAGCTGGTGAGGCCTCTGTCCCAGAGCTGACCCCACACAGCTCACATTTGTGCTCGGGCCCACCCTTGCTTCTCCAGGGTTAGGACGAGGAGCCCCAGGGGTATAAAGCCAGGCCAGGGATGGAGGACACTGCTCTGTGTGGACAGCGGCCATTTGGGGGAACTACCCCCAAGTGAAGGGCATGTCCCTCCCTACACCTGTCCTTCCCCACACCTGTCCCTCCCCACATCTGGCCTTCCCACACATGTCCCCTCCCACACCTGTCCCCTCCCACACCTTTCCCCCCACACCTGTCCCCCCCACACCTGTCCCTCCCACACCTGTCCCCTCCCACACTTGTCCCCCCACACCTGTCCTCCCCACACCTGTCCCCCCACACCTGTCCCCCCACACCTGTCACCTCCCCACACCTGTCCCTCCTCACAACTGTCCCCCCACACCTGTCCCCTCCTCACACCTGTCCCCCCCACACCTGTCCCCTCTCCACACCTGTCCCCCCCACGCCTGTCCCTCCCACACCTAGAGCAGCCAGTGCGCCTCACCTTCCTCGTTCCACGCCTCCACGGCCATAGCCAGGTTCCGGGCCTGCACCTCACCCCTGTGCACGGGGATGGACACGTTCTGGCCCATGAAGCAGGAGATGATGTCAGTGCCACCTGCAGGTGAGGACAGCGGGACTGAGACCAGACGCACAGAGACCCCATTTCTCTGTGTCCCTGAGAACGAAGGACAGCTTCCTGCCAGAGGACACTGAATAGATGCCCTCCATGTCACCCAAAAGTTCAAAACTCGGCGTCAGAAGATGGAAGCCTCTCCATCGTCCCCTGTGCCACAGCCACCTGGGTAGAGTGGCTGTGCGTGGCTGTCACTGGGGCCAGAGACCTCCCGGCTGCCAGGATGCCAGGGCACTGCCTCAGGCCAGAGAGAGCATGGCTTCCAGGAGGAGCTTGTGACAGAGACCAGGGGACTTGGGGCCGGGAGCAGCATAAGGTCCAAGCCCAGAAGGGTCCCCTCACTGCGGCCCCAGTGCCACAGCAGGCTGTGCCCGGGCACACACGCAACACATGCAGGCTCACACGAATACCACAGAGTGCTCAGTCAGGCCAGGCTGGCCAGGACCCCCAGGATGTCACTCAGTGAGGCAGAGGAGAGCAGGAGGAGCCGCCCAAGCTGTGTTGAGTCTGTGCCACACTTAACCCTGCGGAGCCTGCGTCATGCCTGCTGCACACCTGGGAAAGTGTGCGTAATTAGGACAGTTTTTCCGTGATTGCACTCAGTGTCTGTGGGCGGAGGGGGAGATGGCCATCACATAAAATGACTCGGTATCTCCAAGACTCCGAGGGTCTGCCTAGGCCTCCCTCTGTGGGTCTGTGTTACTCCCGGGCAGAGAACCAGACTGACGCCTGCTCCGGGTCTCTGGCACCTCCGTCACTCCCTGGCACGTCCCACAAAATGCAGGGGTCCTGGTCGCATCTGCCACCACCAAGGTCCCACCAGGTTCCAGGCTTCATAGGGACATGAGCACCTCCACCAGATGCAACGTCTGCCTGTGCCCCCTCAGAGGACGGACAAGCAGGATTGCAGGGAGAAAAGAGGCGGGGTTCTGACGACATGGCCACTGGGGAGACCCTCAGAGACGAAGCCACGAGGGGACTGCCCTGCACCCAAGCACCTGTATCAGCGGGGCCAGGGGAGCCAGGCTCCGGGAAGCAGGGGCCACCTGGGACACACATCCAGGAGAACTCGGCAACGGGCCACCAGCAGCTCTGGGGGAACCCGAAACTTCATGGGGAGCGTGGAGGAAACAGGCACAGAGGGTCTGGGCAAGACCAGGGCCTGTACTAGGCCCTCACTGAAGGCCAGAGCCCTGACCCCTGTGTCCCCCTGAGGGGCAGAATCAGGGCAGTACAGCCTGCAAGGACCCCTGGAGACACAGCACGATCCCCATGGAGGCCCGGGGCTCCTGACACCCTTCCTGCTACTCGAAGTAAATTGGCACCTTTTAAATATGTGTCTTAAGGACGTATTTTTTTAAAACCACAAGGAAAAAAATCAGAATTGCAAATGTGTAAAAGAATATGAGCTAGGTGCCCTGGCACATGCCCCCCCACGCAGGAAAGATCCCGGGAAGGACCCACTTCCAGAAGGGGGAACGCTGTGGGGACTCCACATCCAGCTGCCCTGGGGACTCTGAATTTTGTAGCGGACACAAAGTATTCTCCAAAGAGCAGCTTCGTGTTAAAAAGAAGGTTGCAATCCACACACAGGGTGCCCCCATGCACACATAAGGAACAGCCTCACCCAGGGGTCCCTCTTAATCTATTTTGACCAATAATCAGTCCTTTTCCACTCAACATGTCTTGACCCCTCTCAACAACAACCAGCGGGATCCTATCCAAATAACCACCTCCATACTGTCACTTCTAGGGGCTGCATAAATTGAGGTCATAAATCGTTCAGGTAAATCCTTTCCAGAGGCGTATAAAGGCAACCTATGTTTTTATCAGTGTCAACAATGTCACAATAACCGTCCTTACACACAATCGAACCTCATTTTCAGATCCTGTATGCACAAAGCACCTACTTGCTAAAATCTATCTTTAACCCCAAAGTCAAGACTCTTGACCTTTGGGTCACTCCCAGACATATGCAGAGCAACCGGAAATGTAAGTGGCCCCAGGCATGCTGGGCAGGTGCTCGAGGCAGCTTGGCCTTCCTGCCTCAACCCTCCTCAGATGGAAGGTAGGGCAAGGCTCCCAGCTCAGAGACCTGCTCCTGGGGAGCCAGGGAAGTCTCTCCACCTGCTGCACCTCACCCTCATCATACACACAGACAACCAGGCTGAGCTATCTGGGGGCTCCAATCACAACTGATGTGAGACGTGCATGCACTCCACCAGGAGCAGGGGTTCAGCACCTCAATAAGGAGTGCGTGAGGCCCAGCCCTCCTGCCAGGTGGGATCAGTCCAAAGACGTGGGCTGGTGCAGTCAGCGGGTGACCCAGCAGGCCAGCCTGGTCGTCGGGGCAGAGTCACTGTCCCCGCCACCCCATTCCCTGGCTGCACGCCACATCTCCACCCACCACCGAGCCTGGGGCGGAGCTGTACCTGAGATGGAGCCCAGCAGGACACTGCTCTTGATGCACCTGTAGACATACTCGTAGCTCTGGGCCTTCAGCGGGGAGCCCGTGGACAGGATCGTGTGCAGCGTCTGCAGACTGTGGGTTTCCACTGGGGGACAGCCACCAAGAGATTAGAGCCAAGCCCAGCACTGGGAGCCCACAGGCGCGCACATGGTGGCGGTCCAGGGCGAGGCACACTCACCCGGCTTCAGGTCCTTCTCCTCCAGCACAGACAGCCACTTGGCACCCGTCCCAAGGATGGTGATGCTAGGGGCATGGGAGGGAAAGGAGATATCAGAGGCTCTCCAGGGTCCTATGCATCCCACACATGTCCCCACACCAACACTCTCTGCGCTGGTGACTCATTCCTACAAGTCCACAAGACCAACAGGCGAGGGCCTCCTCTGGATTGCCAATATCCCACCCTCACCTGGGAGAGTCCCCGCACTGGGCTCCCTCCAGGCTTGAGGGACGCATCTCCACCTTGACCTCATGGTGCAGGGACAGGCTCCCTCTGTGCACAGCTCAGTGTGGTGGGTCTGGCTCAGCCGCAGGAAGGTGCAGGGCTTGGTCGAGCCCTCTAGCCTGACTCTGCCCTCACTCTGAGGAAGCAGACAGAGCTGCAGATAGCCTTGCTTGGTAAAGCAGGAACCAAAAGCCCCCAGCCCGGCCTTGCCTGCAGTGAGCTGTGTTAGCGTAAAGCTGAGACCACGCTGCTCTCCTCCGTGCCCTGAGCCCCACGGCATCCAGCACTCTGTTGAGGACTTGCCACTGGGGGCTCAGGTCATTCTCCACCCCACCTGGCTTCTCTTTTTTTGGGGGGGTGGTTTCCAGGGTTTGAACTCAGGGGCACTCGGCCACTGAGCCACCTCCCCAGCCCTATTTTGTATTTTATTTAGAGACAGGGTCTCACTGAGTAGCTTAGCATTCACTTTTGCTGAGGCTGGCTTTGAACTTGCGATCCTGCCTCAGCCCCCACACCCCAGCCCCTGGGATTACAGGCATGGGCCACCTTGCCCGGCCCCTCCCCGGCTTCTCTTGCAGCACAGTGGCCCTACCAGCAAACCCCACCTTCCCAACTAGAGGCACGCTCCTGGGCCCCGGGAGGCTGGCAGTTCCAAAGCTCCCATCCCCTGCTCCCTGGGAGAGCCTCTGTCCGGTGCAGGCCTGGCTCGCCCACCCGATGCTGCAGACATTGGGATCCTGGGGCTGGCATGGGAGTGGCCGAGCCAACAGCAGGTGGGTCCCCTTGGAGCAGCTCTCCCCGTCTCACCCCAAAAGCAGGAGCCACAGCCAGGCTTTCCTGCTCTACTCTGTCCTCATCAGGCCTTTGGTCACAGCAGTGAAGAGCTCAAGAGCACTCTACTCACAGGCCTCGGCCCTGTGCCGTGACCTCTGAGGCCCCGCGGACCCCAGGCCCACAGCAGCTGGCCCTCCTGGCTCTCCCTGGCCTCCCTGCGCCAGCCAACTCCAGGAGGTCAAGAACCAGGCCCATCAGGGTTGACACGCAGCACGTCCTACGGCACGCGGTGTTGCCACGGCCTCCTCCCGGCAGGGCCTGCCATCCAGGATGCCCCACTGCAGCCATGCCCCCCTCAGACGGCGGCTCCGATGACCTCCCCGCCCCTCGGTACCCGCAGGAGGACAAGGACCTGGAGCTCAGGCTGCCTCTAACCAGAAGGTTCCCCTCGTCAGACATGGAGCAGGCAAATACAGCACCAGTGAAGGAGAAAAGCCACCTTTTATTTTTTTTTTTTTAAGATTTTTTAAATTTATTGTCATTTTAAAAATCTTAGGTACAAAAGCATCACACGGTACAATTCCATCATTGTTGAAAAGAATTTAAAAGGCACTGAGTGTTTGCATTAATGATGTTCATTGAAAAGCCACCTTTTAAAGGAGTGTGTGCCCCCAAATGGACACCCAAGTGTCATGAGTCGGTACGTCTGCAAGCGGAGGCCAAACGGCAACAATCTGCTCTTCAACATGCGACGTTGTTTAAAAACAAGAGAAACTGGGCTGGGGACGTAGCTCAGCGAGCAGAGAGCTTGCCTCGTACGCACAGGCCTGGGTTCAACCCCAGCACCACAGGAAAAAACAGAGAAACTGAGACAGCTGAGAGGACTGTGCCTGGCCGCCGCCCCCACCCTTGGCCCTGGCCTAGAGCCAAGCGACACCCGCCTTCCTGACCCTGAGTAGGCGAGCTCTCTGCGGGGTACAGGCCTGTACCCCATCCAGAGGCCCCCGCAGAGGGAAAGGCCAGGCCTGAGCGTCAGGTACAGGCCCCAGGGGAAGGAGGACATGCGCTCAGCAGGAGCGTACCACAAAGAGCCAATCCCCGGGCTGCCAACACACACCTGCACACCCATGCACATGCACACCCACGTGCACACACGTGACTCCTCACTCACACGCATACACACACGAATACACCATCACACATGTCCCTCACACATGCGTGTGCGCACACGGAGCAGGGTTGGCTGCCGGACCTCTGTCCCTCAGCCGTGTTGGCTCTAAGCCTGTGACCACATGTCCCTGTCCGCCCCCTTCTGACCCCCAACCCACAACTGCACCAAAAAACCAGAGTCTCCGGGCAGAGCCTGGCTAGAGGTAGTATGGCGGGAGTGAGGGCCACTCTGATTCCCAGGGATCTGATGGACCTGGCACAGCAAACACCCTCCTTAGGAAGTGACCTCCCCACCAGCACTGAAAGGCAGACGCCCGGGTTCATACGGCACCACCAGGCAGGCCAGGCTGCACGGAAAGCACTGACCGCGGGGATTTAAAAGGATTAGTGGCTCCTGTTTCCACCACAAGACGTGGTCAGGGGTTCAGAGCGTGGACACTTTGGCTCCTGGAGCTCGGCAGCCTCCTGTTTTTACTGCCAGAGATACTGTCATTAGGCGAGTGATAAGAACGTGTCACCACTAATTCCTTAGCCCAGGCCGGTGGCGCTGAGCCTTGAGACTGTTTCTAATGCTGGGTGGGGGCTGCTCAGGTCCTCCCCACGCTCTTGACCCCAGGACCCTGGTGACTCCGATGCTTCCTCCTGCAGTGCCTTGCATGTTGGGGGTCCTGTGTCCCATCAAGGGAAGAGAAGTTAACAGGGCCACAGAGAGGGCCACACCGTCCAGATGCCATAGACACCTTTGTACCAATGTTATAATGTTCAGGGAAGATGCCAAGAGAACACCGCCACAGCCCTCAGGGACACCCTGGGTTTGCTCCCTGGCACTGCACCAAAACAGATGGCCAAAAAGGTCCCATGTGGGTCAGGCACTGTGGCGCCCACCTGTAATCCCAGCAGCTCCGGAGGCTGAGGCAGGAGGATTGCGAGCTCAAAGCCAGCCTCAGCAACTCTATGAGGCCCTGAGCAACTCAGGAGACCCTGTCCCTGAATAACAATCAAAAACGGCTGGGGCGGGCTGCGTGGCTGGGCACTTTGGGTTCAGTCCCAGGTACCAAAACCAAAACCCACAGCTTCTCCAGGAGCCGCCGAGCTCACTCCTGGCCCTGAGAGGCGCCTCTCACCCTGCCGGGGAGTGTGGACCCAGCAGTGGACCAGCCCAGCCCGCCCTCTTGCTGCTCCTGGACCCCCCAGCACTGGGCAGGGATGTCCAGGGTAGCAGTGCACTCCAGAGATAGCAGCCTGCAAGGGGACACATGGCTGCAGCTGCGTATATTCCAAAGCACCTCCCGAGGACACCAGCGCTATCCCACGGCTGAGCAGGACATTAGGTACCTACCCTATCCTGTCCACAAGATCCCACAGCACGTTGGGCGTCGGGACCATGGGGGAGCCATCGTACAAGACCACAGATGCCCCAGTGGCCAGAGCGGACACCATCCAGTTCCACATCATCCAGCCGACCTGCAACACAAGCACCAGCTTCAGACGGGCGCCACCAGCTTCCCGCCAGCCCAAGAGCACCACCGGGCCCAGAGCCCAGGATGGGCTGCAGTTGCCCGCCTCAGACGCACCAGCCTCAGCCACAGGCTGAGTGCAGAGGCAGCTGCATGTGAGCAGAGACGTGGCAGAGGAGATCTGTGAGCCCTCACTGGGGTGAGATTGAGCAAGCCCAGCACCCGCCAACACAGGACAGCCACAGGACACATGCACTCCACTGCTCTCAGTGAAACCCCAGGACGCTCAGCACCCACCTCGCAAGCACTCAGAGTCAGCCCCATGTGGCCACGGAGAAGAGACCCAATGGGTGGGGGACACATGGCAAGACACTGTGAGGTGGAAAACAAGCATGGCACAGAGGCACAGCCGTGAGCAGATAGAGCGGACATGCACACGCACCCACACACAGACACAGACACAGACACGTATACATATGCACACGCATACAAAAGCACACATGCACACATGCCCACAGATACACACATGTGCACCTGCGTGGACATGTGCATGCACATGAGAACATATACACACGTATGTGTGTGCACATGGACATGCATATGCATGCACACATGAGCACACATGCACACGCACATGCTCATACGCACACAAGCACACATGAGCACACATGCATACACACATGCACACACATGAGGACACATGCACACACACACACGCATAGGCCTGCCCGGAGAAGCAGTACCAGGATGGCAGGCGCCACACCCAGGCCCTGGAGAACAACCCCCTCCACTGTGTCCTTCTGATGTGGCTTGAAATCTTCACCATATGTGAGGAGATTGGATTTTTTTTTAATTTTAATTCTTTTTTTAATTTAAAAAAGAATTTTAAACTCCAAAAATGTGCCCACAGGCCCGCCCACCAGGCTCCCACCTACAGAGCCTCGGGGCCATCTGGAGCACAGACATGACAACGGACCAGGGACGCTCAGCAGGGGCCTCAGCCTGGAGGGCAGGAGAGTGCAGCTACTCGCCCACGTGGGCGAGGACAAGGGGTCGTGCCCCACCCGGGAGGACTCAGCACAAGTCGTGGGGGCCCTGGCGTCCCCTAGCACCTGGGTTCACTCTCCGTGGTGGGGACAGGAGGCAGGAGGAAGCTCCTGAGTGGCTCCCTGTGTGGGGTGGTGTGAGGCCCGAGTCGGACGGGCAGGTACCACAGGACTCAGCAAGCCATGGCCAGGCCTGTGACTGGGACCCTCCTGCTGGCCACCTCAGCCACTCTGGCCTCCACCTGTGTGGGCCACAGTGAAGAGCCTCACGAAGCCCTGAGGACGGCCCTCTGCGACGTGAGTGGCCCTCACTGGCAGAGCCGCCACTTAGCCAGTCTGCTTAGACAGGTGTCCACCCACTGGCCGAGGCTCTCCTAGCGAGGAATCAGCCCTGACAAGGAGGCAGAGGCTGGAGGCCCAGCAGCCCAGCCCTCCCGGTACAGCACTGTCCAGCAAGGCCATTAAAGTGAGGTCCATGAGTGACAGAGAACGGGCCTGGCCAGGGCTGGGGATGCTCACAACCACACCTGAGGCTGCTGTTGAAACCAACTTGGCAAAATGGGGCGGCCAGCCTGAGGCAGGATGTTTCCAGAAAGCACGACACCCTGGAGGCGGCCCCAACAGGGCTCTTCCCGAGGTGCTCTCCTCAGCCCGGAACCCGCCTCCGTGGGGGACAGCAGGGACTCGTTCCTGGAGCTGCAGGGGACCCGCCATGAGGGTGCCAGACCAGGACATGGCAGAACATGGGCCTGGATCCCAGGGTGCCAAGGCCTGCGCGCCACGTGCTGGGCACAGGGAGGAGACAATCTTGCTGCTAAAAGATATCTGAGTCTTTTGGCCCAAGCCCCTCATTCATAGCCGGGCACAGAAACCCAGGTACCCTGCCTACGGTGGTCCCCGGGCATGTCCTGGTCCTGCTCCTGTGTCTGCAAGGGGTCCAGATGGCCTGTCACAGAGGGAACAGCCTGGGCAGGGAAGGCACCTGCCTCCAGCACCCGCTTCCTAAAAACGCAGCAGTCATGCCATCCAGGAAACACCGCTAGATTATTCCGGAACCTCTTGATACTGGCATTCTTGGAAAAGGCTAACCCCAAGTTCTCCTTCGGGGTTGGACACATCCCTTTGACCCACCCGAGCCTGTGCCTTGTGCCCAGCAAGGACAGCAAGCCCTCCACTCCTGCACGCAGGGCCGCCACCCACCCATGTGCATGCCTGGTGGCAGGGCCATGTTCGTCTGCTATCCCACAGCACAGTACAGCACCCAGGGTGACCTCAGGCGGACGTGAGGGGCTCACCGTGGTGTAGTACAGAAGGACGTCACTGCAGCGCATGTCCCCATGCAGAATGTGCTCCTTCAGGTGCTGGATGAGCGTGCCCTGCGGAGGGAGGATGCCCAGGTGAGTGGCAGCCCCACACCCAGGAAGGAGCTGGAGCGTCTCCACCTGGCCTTGATGAGCCACCTCCAGGATCACTCTGCCACCTGCCACCTGAGCGGTGCTCATGCCTGACGGGAAACCATGATGCACCCCAGCTGCCTGCGAGCTCTAGGTGCCAGCTCCATCAGAGGCACCGTGGGGACCTGGAACATCAGGACAGGAGCGAACCTTGCTGAGAGGGACAAAGTGACAGGGCAGACAGTACATGCCTGTTCACGGAACCAGCCGCCATGCCCTCCACAGGCTCCCCCAGCAGAGGACAGAACAGGCACGATGGAGAGCAAGACGGACTCCTGCTCATCAGCAGGCCGAGCTCAAGGACGCAGGGTCCCAGGGACGGCTGGAGACCCTGTTGCCAACAGACACGGAGGGACACCCTCGCCCTCCTCCACGCACCTCCAGTGCTGACAGGGTCCCACTCCAAGGCTGCACACCCAGAAGGCCAGGCACACCCTAGCCCACCAGCACCTGAGCTGCACCCGGGTTCCACCACAACACCCCTGTGTTCCTGTCTCACTGAGAGGCACTGCAGACCACACGGCTCTCCCTGAAGGGCTCTCGGGGAGAAAGGAAGCTTCCTGTCACTGAGCATGAGCCACACAGCACAGCGGGCCTGTCCCGGAGGAGAACCTGAGGACAGGTGGGGACCCTGCCCTCAATGCCCCTGCAGGGGGAGCTCGTACAAAGGCGGGTCACCATCCTTCAGAGCATGCACGAGTGCTGGACCCACATGTTAGGAACCAGCCTTTGCCACCAGCCAAAGCCCAGAGTGGTCAAGAGGCCAAGGGTCAAGCCTCGCCCAGCAGGGCTCTGATTCCAGACTCCACGGCCCCTGAGCGGCGCCATCAACCAGGGTGACTGAGACTGCCTGAGCCTGCAGGTGCACACAGGGCCACACAGAACCTGCTGGAGGGACAGGGCTCTGTTCCTGGTCCCCGGCTGCAGGCTTCATTGTACTGCAGGACGGGACACAGGGGCTGCCAGTGGCAGGAAAGCCCTGGGGAGGAGAGACTGCAGGGACACACCGGTGAACACTGAAGCCTCTCGATCCACCCACTCAGGGACAAGGGCCCACGGCTGGACGCCTGCAGAGCCCACCGCTTCCCTCCCTCTTCCGCTCAGTGTGGGACGGCGGCTGCGAGACCCTGTCACCCACCTTCCTGCACTTGTCCCTCACCTCAGCACCCCGGAGGGCAGAAGCAAGAGGCTTTCCTCTCTCAGAATTTCTCTGTGAGTCGTGGAAAGTATGCTGGGGGTTAGGGCTATCTGAAGCCTCCCCTAAGGACAGGAAGTGTAGGCAGAGGAGTTTGGTGGTCTTGAGCAATTGGGGACAGTGCTGGGACAGACTCAGGGCCTCAAGCGCTCCACCACTGAGCCATATCCCACCCTGAGCAACTTCCTGTACTTTTTTTTTTTTTTGGTACCAGGATTGAACTCTGAGGCACTCGACCTCTGAGCCACACCCCCAGCCCTATTTTGTATTTTATTTAGAGACAGGGTCTCACTGAGTTGCTTAGGACCTGGGAGGAGGGGCCCTGGGGAGGAGGGTCTTGGGGATGAGCAGCCCTGGAGAGGAGCAGCCCTAGGGGAGGAGTGGCCCTGGGGAGGACAGGCACTGGGGAGGACAGGCCCTGGGGGAAGAGCAGCCCTGGGGAGGAGGGTCCTGGGGAGGAGCAGCCCTGGGGAGGAGCGGCCCTGGGGAGGCCCCAGTCAGGAGGAAGCATCTCACAGCCCAGGAGCCAGCAGGACTGTGTGGAGTGATTGTTAGGAAAGCACCAGACTCATCCTGGAGTCACCTCTGAAGTGACCAAGTTAAATGACAATGACAGGACAGAATGGCACTGCATATCCCCCAGAGAAGATGCTTAGAAAGGGACACAGCGTCAGGGCCCTAGAGCCCTGCCCAGAGCCATATCCCCCAGATCTGACACGAGGAAACGTCACACAGGCCCAGAGATCCAAGCCACACCAAGTCCTGGACTTCAAACGTCAAGGTCAGGAAAGACCAGGGACGGCGAGGAGCTGCTCCAGATGGAGGGCCCTGGGGAGACTGGACAGCGCGACCCAGTGCTGTGGGGGCTGCACGCTGGAGGGCAGCCGGCGGCCACTCTGGTGTTCAGGAGCTGATCCTGGACCACAGCACTGAGAGCACTCGCTTCTAGGAGATGAGATGGAGGTCAAGGAAGAGGCCCTCACGGCTCCAGCCTACCTCAAATGGATCAGCAAAAAACGAGACAGAAATGCGTAGGTGCCCAGAGAGAAATGAAGCAAAGGAGGCTATAAGAAATGTCACAGCCGGACACGATGACACCCGCCTGCAATCCCAGCAGCTGGGGAGGCTGAGGCAGGAGGATCACGAGTTCAAAGCAGCCTCAGCAAAAGTGAGGCCCTGAGCAGCTCAGTGAGACCCTGTCTCTAGTAAAATATAAAAAAGGGCTGGGGACGTGGCTCAGTGGTACCAAAAAAACAAACAGAAAACGTCACAACTGGATGCTGGAAATGTTAGGAGCCCAGGACCGAGGCCTGGGCCTGGCAAAGGGCAAGGACCTCCTCACTCTACGGCTTTTCTAGAGGTTTTCTACAGGTCCTGTGGGCATTTTTTTAATATTTAATTTTTAGTTATAGGTGGACACAATATCTTTATTTTACCTCTATGTGGTGCTGAGGATGGAACCCAGCACCCCACACATGCTAAACGAGAATTACCTCTGAGCCACAACCCCAGCCCAAGGCATTTTACTTTTAAAAGAAGAAAGGACAGCCGGCATGGTGGCCCACACCTCTAATCCCAGTGGCTCAGGAGGCTTAGGCAGGAGGATCACGAGTTCAAAGCCAGCCTCTGCAACTTAGCAAGGCTCTAAGCAACTCAGTGAGACCCTGTCTCTAATCAAACACAGGGCTGGGGACGCAGCCCTGTGGTTAAGTGCCCAAGTTCAATCCCCAGCACCAAAAAGAAGAAAGGCTAGGGGCGGCCGATCTATGACCAGACCATCAGCAGCCATGTATCTCATGTGTCCTTGAAGGACGCTGGACTTCTGGGAAACGCGATGCGAGAGGCTTGCCTCAGGCTGACCCGCTCCCCCCTCCCCGAGCCTCAGATGTGGAAGCCCCAGCCCAACCTCCACAGAGGTGTTCACAGAGGCGATAAGGCCAGGAGAAGGCCCTTAGGTGACCCTGACCCAGTCCAAGGAGACCCACAGACCTGGTGCCTGTGGAAACCTGTCCCCAGAGTCATGCGTTAACAGCATTTGGAGGTGGAACCCTTGGGAAGTGACAGGTGGGAAAGGTCACGCAGGTGGGGCCCCATGTCGGCAGCAGGGGTAGAAGAAGGACGCTGAGCGAGCTGCTCCGTCTTAGGTGCGGTGCCCTGTGCCACACGGAGACCTGTGGAAGTCCCCAGCTGGGCCGACTGGGCCCCTCCACCTGGCTCTGTGAGCTGAGCAAACATGGATTCTCCCTAAATATGCCGTCAGTAGCGTCTGGCTTAGCAACAGAAACAAACCAAGGCAGGGCGTCGCGTGCCAGGCTGGGGCGGTACAGGGAGAAGCGGGCCCCCACAAGCCAGGGACAGGGGCTGGGGAGGCCGGCCCACAACCCAGGTCTCGGAACCCAGCCTCCACAGTGGGAAAGCGGGCTCCCTCGTTAGCCTCCATCCAGGGCAGCAGGGGGCCTCCCTAGGTTAACCCCAGCTTAGGACGTCACCCCGTGGCCTTCAGGTGTCTGCCCAGGGCTCACAGTCAGAGAGGGTTCCACCACATCCCCAGCAGTGCACCAACCCACACCACGCAAGGACAGTCCCGTGGACACCACCGTAACTCCCAACCTGATGTGTGGCATTTCTGCTCTCAACTGGTCTGGATCCTAGACCACTGCAGGACCCCACCCCGGACCTTAGTCCCCTCAGGGCCACAGCCTGCAGCTGGAAGTTACCGTCTCACAGTGACCTCCACACCTGTCCTCATTGTGGCAAGTGCCACAATGTCCCCTGACACTGCAGGCCTCTCACCTAGCCCAGTTCCAGACTCCCCAAGGAGCAGCACTCGGGGTCCCCGGGAGGGCAATGAGGACTTGATGCCCACCGCGCTGCCAGCTGGGAGCCCGCGGTATGAGCCCTGCTGGGACACCTACCCCTGCCGAGTGTACCATGCACTTGGGCGCCCCGGTCGTGCCCGAGGAGAACATGATGAACAGTGGGTGGCTGAAGGGCAGCTGCTCGAACTCCAGCTGGGGGGCGTGCTCGCCGGGCCCGCTCGCCAGAAAGTCCTCCAGGAACACGCTGCGGGCAAGAGAGCGAAACAGTGACCGTTTCAGACGCCAGACCTGACCCGCCCACCCTGCCACACACAGCACCAGCCTCTAGCACGAGGAAGGTGTGCGTCCCCTGGGACACCGGCCTGGCGTGGACGCTTTAGGGTACAGGGAGGTCCCATCTCAGGAACTCAAGCTGACTACAGGGACAGACTGCAGGGTGAAGATCTCGAGTGGGCTCCTTAGCACTGCTGCCAGGCCAAGGGCTGGCTCCGTGGAGACTCTCAGGCCCTCACAAGCACTGCAGAGAGGACCACCCGCAACTAACACCCTGTTTGTGCAAACGCTGCTGACGCGGCTTGGAATCCGTGTCGCGGCCCGTTCCCATTGTTGGCTCTTCGTCCCCTTGACCATCACACTCTGCTTCCACTGACCACCCTACGGAAGCACAGGCCACCTGCCTCTGAACCAAGGCCCCACGGGGAGGAGAAACTGGAATAGGGGCCAACCACAGCACCAGTGACGACAATGTGGCCAGGCTCCGTCACTGTGTCCTGAGGCCCACGGCGTGAGATACAAACACGTGTCCAAGAATAAATGGGATTCACCCAAGCTCCTGACCAGCAGAGGAAGCCTGCCCAGCCTCACCCCACGCTGACAGAGAGCACTGATGTGGGTGGCCAAGAGCCACCAAAGGCACGACCCAGACCTGTCTGCTGGGATAGAAAGAGCGGCAGGATTCCCAAAGCCACCTCGAGAGGGGATTTCTATTTTGCGACCAGCAGAGACATGGGTCCTGTGAACTTGGCCCTATACATTTTTGCCAAGTGGAACTTTCTCCCTTCCAAGGAAGGGAGTGGGAGTCGGTCACTCTCAGCCAGCAGCAGTCACCAGGGAGAATGATCCAGACGGGGAACACCCTCCCTGTGAGCGGAATGATGTCCTTAGGGAGAAGGCTCCGGGGACAAGGTGTTTCAGGAAGGGCATCCAAGACGCTTCGCTCGGAGCCCTCGGCACACATAGCCGCGAGCACTGGGCACGGGGAAGGAGGCCATCCCCGGCGCCTCCCTGTGCAGCCCATTTATATAAAACACCTCAAATATAAACTGCTCACGCTGCATCACACAGAGAAGAGACTTTCCTTTAAAAAGGTCCATAAATCACAGTAAATAGCCGTTACTTTTGTTGCTCTTCTGAAGATGCAAAGCCCAGAGGTGGCCCTACCTCCGCTCCCTGTGAGGGGCAGCACGTGTCCTGGGTTCTCTGTGGACCTGGCAACCAGGACATGGGTAGTGCGGAGCCCGCTGCTGGGGCCTCAGGAGGGCAGAGCTTCCCACTGCACAAGCTGAATGGCAGCAGGTGCTCTCACTGTCCCCCATCATGGGGCAGGTGTTCCCACTGTCCCCCATCACAGGGCAGGTGCTCCCACTGTCCCCCCGCCAAGGGGAAACACACTCAGGGGAAGAGAAACCGGCCACCGCAGGGCTGGAGGCCCAGCTGGTTTTCCTCCTCCTCGCCGCCATGTCCAGCTCCGTCAGGCAAACCTGGGGGCCAGGCCTGAGGCTGCAGGAAAGAAGACCAGGGCTCCACCTGAGGTCAGCAGAGGACCCACAGGCCCGCCTGTGAAGGACACACTCCAGTGACAGAGCCTGTGCAGCCGGGCGGTGACAGACACGGCTATTGAGCACTGACTACTCACTTGGCTCAGCACTCACTTCTCTGACCCTCACACCAGCCCCCGAGGAAGGTGGGGTCCCCATTTTACAGATGGAGAAACCAGGGCACAGAGAGGTTGATCACTGGCATAGGGTCACCCAGCTGAGACCCAAATCCAAGAAGTTTGGCACTAGAGGCCACAGCCTCCCAAAGCCACCACTCTGCTTGCAGCACTAGGAGGCCACACTTCAAGGCCAGTCGGACGCCACCTCTGGACCCAACAGAACAGCCACACCCCAGTCTCAACTCCCAGGCCCTTCCACTGTCACCCACGTGATGGGCACGCTGTAAGGACATGTGCCTTACACCGCTCAGCGCCCAGGAGCCCCCACACAAAACCAGCAAGCCAGACGTCACCTACTGTCTGCCTAAATAGGGCCTCTGCCACCCTGGCACTCCTTGGTGGCAGACCCAGGGACTCCTGCCATCTCTGAAAAACCCCTCCCCACAGCTCGAGGGGCCCCTTGTGGATCCTGCAGCCACCAGGCTAGAAGCTAATAGGAAGGGTGCCTGAGGATCACCCCAACCCCCAGCCTCGCCCACAGCTGTTTCCAGAGATCCAGGGAGAACTCCGAGGACTGGGCAGTCCCAGCCGACCCAGGCTGAGACGTGCGGCTTACCAGCTTGTAAGTGTCAAAAAAGCCAAGGAGGGCATCACCAGCCTCAGGCACCCATCTGACACACGTACCCACACACACAGAGGCGGCACCCACATGCTCATGCATGTGTGCACGTCAGTCCCAAGGAAAAGCCATGTGGCCCGCCCAGGGACCTGGACGCCTCCGCCCAAGCCCACCACAGCAAAGGGACACAAGCAGACCTATGAGGGAGGACTCCTGGGACCCTCTGTTCTGCCCCCCATTTACCATGTGGCCTTGGGGGATTTGCTCTGGGGACTTAAGGGCCCATCTATGAAGCAAGCGTTTTCACCAAAACCTCCATCTCCGAACCACCAGGGTGAGTAGGAAGCCCAGGGGCACCTCCCAGGGCACTGGGGCCATGCAGGCCTGCGAAGTGGGCACCTGGGGGTGGGCGCTGGCTCCTTACCTATTGGGAATCCGGGAAATGTCGATCTGCTCCCGAGGCGAGATGTAAGGGATCACCACCACCTTTCTCAGGTCAGGCAACCCTGGAGGGAGAGGCGAGAACACGTCACACCAGGAGCCACCCAGGGAGGCGGGGTGGCGGCAGGACTCCTGAGGGCCTCAGTTCTGTGCAGACAGAGTCCAGGAGGCTCCAATCTGCTCACACCGCTCTGGGGGGACCGGAGGGGACTGGGAGGGGCTGCACCTTTAACCACCCGCTGTAGCTTCTCCAGGTGGCTGTGCTCCTTGCCGTTGTAGATCACGGCCTCCACCGAGAAGATGAGCTTCGGCTGAATTTGAGAAAACCGGTCCAGGACGCCCTGTGAGTGGGAGGACAGTCCTCACTGAGCATCCAGAAGGCAAGGGCCAGCAGGCGCTGCATTCAGGAGAGAAGGGCCACTCCTCAGGCTGAGTGGCCTTGGACAGGAGTCCTGCCCCCACTCCCTCCAGCACCTGGGGCTCCTGTGCCTAGAACCCTGGCTGTGCCAGGACCCTGGGATGGGGGTCCCCCTCAGCTTGGAGGCAAACCACGGCAGCAAAATGCCTGGCGTTGTTGAGAGCTCGCGCCTGTAGGCAGCAAGCTCCACAGAGAGGACCCGCTCCCTTGACCCGCAGAGCCCAGGAGAGGGACGTCACAGGCTCCGCCCCCGAGCGGGAAGGATGTGCAGGGCACAACCGCCCAAGAAGCCTGGGTGCCGGGCCTGACCTGGGTGCCAGGCCTGACCCGGGTGCTGCCCACCTGGTGCCCATGTCACCCACGCCACCCAAATGGCTGCAGAGGTTCCTCTGCCGTGAGGCAGGTGGCGGGTGGCCCAGGCGAGGGAAGGGCCAGGCCTGCGAGAAGCCTGAGGCCTGGGAGGCTCAGAGGAACCAGACTGGGAGAGCCTGGAAGCCCAGTGTCTGGGAACCATCCTGGTCAGGCCACAGGGAAGGCCCAGGTGGGCCAGTGGCCTGGGGCTCAAATGCCAAAGAGAAAACTCTCAGTCACAATGACAGTGACAGTGACTAGAAACCAGTAAGTGCTTCAGAACCAGAGTCCAACACCACGGCTCGAAGCCCCAGGCACAGCGGGGGGCACCCGTCTGGATCTCTGGTGTCCACAGGGGCTGCTGGGACCCTGCGTGTTGCCAGGAAACCCACACCTGTGATGATGGTGGTTCTGACCGACTGTGGTGCTCAGCGGCCCACCAAGCACCAGAACGGAATCCCAAGGAGCAGCCACCACACAGGAAGGTGGCCTTCCCATCAACGCTCGCAACACACACAGCCCCGGATGCTCAGGAGGGCGGGCCCCTGGCACACATGTGGACATTAGACAACACACCAGCTCAAGGTGACACAGAGAAAAGCCCAGAGGAGTGGAGACTTCAGGAGCCGAGGTCTGGATGAGGCTAGGGGAGGGGCGCCCAGGAGCACAGCACCCACAGGGCCACACCGTCCAGCCCAGGGGCACGGCTACACGGGCCAGGGCACCCGGCAGCCATAAGTAGGGCAGGGAGGGAACTGGGGCTGTGGTGAGAAGGTGGACAGGGTCAGGACAGAGTGACACAAGGGGCATCGCTGTGGAAAGAGAGGTGTCCTGGCCCACACCTGTGCCATAGCCTCGAAAGGCCCCTTCGTCACCCAGCCCAGCCTGGTGAGGGGCAGTGGCTACCCTCCTTGGGCCCTTCCCTCCCCCACCAGCAGAGGCCCCCATGCTGCCTGTGAAATGCCCTCTGAGAATCCCCACGGCCACCAGCTGCACTCAGAGATGCCTCGTCGACAGGCCTAGCGGGGCGCACAGCAGAAAGCCTGCTCCAGGCAGGAAGCGTGATGCTCTCTGCAGTGTCAGGAGCGTGCCCTCTGCTGAGAGGGTGTCCAGGTGAAGCTCTGAGGACACCGGAAGGTGGAGGCTGGGTCCTCTCTCCCAGAGATGTGTGAATGGGGGCAGGGTCAGCCATGCGCCCTGAGCTCTCTGCCTCCGCAGGCTCCAGCCCCGTCACCAACTCCTATAGGGCTGAGACCTGAACAAGGACCCTCTGCGCCTCGGGTCACAGCTGCAGGCTCCTGCAGCGTGAGGGAGTGGGCACCATACAGGTGCCAGCAGCCAGGACTGCAGCCAGCCAGGCTGCCGAAGGCCCCGGGGCACAGGGAATGTCACAAGGACCTCCAACCTGAGGAACACAAGATGGAGTGGTGACTCTACACCACAAAGACCAGCAAAATGAGACCCGTTCCCAGAATTTAGCAGGAAGGCCTTCCCGCCTGTCCCTCCCTGACCCCAAACAGCCTGGCCATCTCAGAGGAGAGCTGCTGCCACCTAGTGCCAATATCAGCAAGAGCATGCCCCGTGACCACGCAGCCCAGGGAAAGGTGCCCCAGGGAAGGGAGCCCCTGGGAAGGCACTTAGAGCCCTCACTGACACCGCTCCTCCTGAGACAGGCAGAACCTGCTGGAGCCACCAGGGACTTCAGGTGACATCCACACAGAACAAGGGCCCTGCGGGAGGGCACGGTGAGACGCTGTGGGCCACGTGCCTTTCCCCACCCTCCCCACTCCATCCCCCCCATCGCCCACCAGGGCTGATTCCAGAAACTCTGTGCCAGGTCCCCAGTCAGGCTGGACTTCAGCCCCGAGCTGGGACAGGAACCAAGAGGGTCAGAGCTGCCACCGACTAAAGCTGCACCCACGTCCCAGACCTCGTCCTCTCAGTGCCCTTGTCCATCCAGGGACTGGAGCTCGGGCCCCAGGCATGCAGCCGGCCTGCCTGTGCCCACCAGGCCCTTGGCCTCCTGGCCCTTCCCTTCACTGCCCACGGTCACTCGAGACCTGAGGGATCCGAGAGCATCAGTGCCGAGGCCCACCTGCAACCCTCCTCCCAGGACCCCACTGGCCCCGGGCAGCTCGCACAGCCCGGCACAGGGCCCACAGAGGCCATCACTGGGGCTTGGGTCTTCGGCCAGTTCTTGCTGACCCTGGACAGTCCTGGTGTGAGGTCATGTGGAAAAGGGCCCAGGAAGCTGCAGGACGTACACCGCATCTGGCCCCAAGTAGACCTCCACCCCGGACCCAGCTCCCGGGCCCTAGGCTGCTGTGGGGCCCCGGGCGAGCCCTTCCCTCCCCCAGGCCTTGGCCCAAGTCCTCCTCACGGGGAGACCCACGGTGACTCATCAAAGCAGCAAGCCTCAGAGCACAGATACTAAGTGCACACCCGAGAGCCAGGCAGCGAGGCCACAGCGCGGAGCCCCAGCAGCACCAGGAACTGTGCACAGCCACACCCTAGGCACCCAGGCGCATGCACCCCTCACGCCTCTCTCATCGCCACCCCTGCTCTGCAGATGAGGAAACCTGAGGACAGAGAGGACAGAAACCTGCCTGGACACAGGGCCACCAAGGCCATGCCGACCCACACCCTGGGCCACCACAACCCATGCATGGTGCAGGGACCTGGGCGGCGTAAAGGGAGGAGAGCAGTTGCAGAGGGCAGGCGCCCCATGCCCCACAGCCCTATCCTCGAGCCCTGGCTGGGGGCGGGACCCTCATGGGTCTCCTCCAGCTGTGGCTTCCTTCATCCCGTGGGCAGGCCGGCCCCAGTACCTGACTGCTCTGTATACCTGGACGCACCCTGGGCCCCCGGCTCCCCAGGGCAGAGGGGGATGCACAGGGTGTCCCCAGAGCTCCCACCCACGGAGAGATCAGAGCAGCAGGCCACGCAAGAAGCCCCGCCCCATCTGTGCCCAACCCTGAGGACGAGCCTGTAACACTGTCCCCAGCTCCTTGAGGAACCCTTGCGTGGCCCCAACCCGCAGGAGAGGACAGTGGGACATGAGGACTAAGGGAAGGGAAGCAGGAGCATCTTGTGAGTTTCAAAGTAAGATCCAAGGGCGCTGCCGTGCCGTGGCCCAGGGCACACCCCAGCACCCTGCCTGTAGTCCACTAGGAACCCCACGTACCCCCAGGGCCCAACCAGGACTCCTAGCCACGGGACCCAACTCACGTTCACACCGAAGTCGGGGGACGTGGAGCTCCAGATGGCACCAATGCTCGCTGCGGCCAGCATGGCCTCCACCGCATGCTCGCCATTGGGCAAGTAACCTGTTGGCACGGAAGGAAGCCTGGGGTTCAGGTGGCATCCAGGCAGTGGGCTTCCAACGGTCCTGGGAGAGCCAGGCCAGGGTGGAAAGGGGCTGGCCAGCTGCTGTCTGAGTAGCAAAACCACCCGCCACCAGGCTCTCTGTCCACTGCACTATCCCCCCCATCCACCCTCCACGCTCTAGCCAGAGCCAGCCCTGCCCTTGCTGGCCTCTCCATGCCAGTCACAGCAGGCTTCCCTCAGCCCCTCAGCTGTTCTGAGCGTCTCCTGTGCGGGGCCTTGGCACAGGCCGCCTGCTCCGCCTGAGCACCCTCCGCACACACGCCCTTCCCCACTCGCCTCCAGCCCTCGACTCAGATGGGACTCCCTAGAGAGATCCTCACAGAGGCCAAGAACGTGGGTCCCCCGGCTCGTCAACCCAAACCCCTGCACTCCTGTCCTGCCAAGCTCATCGTGACACACGCAACTGGCTGCCCGGGTCGGGGCCTCGCAGGAGGGGAGGGCTCTGCCTGCCTCGAGCTCCACTCAACCAGGAGCCTTTGCCCACGGCACGCCCAGCACAGCAAGGCCCGGGTACCTGCTGGCAGATGGAGGGACAGAGGGAAGGATGGAGAGGCGGAGGGAGGGAGGGAGAGGGAGGGAGGAGTGAATAGATAGAGGGTTGGAGGTAGAGGGAGGGAGGGATGGAGGAACGGAGGGACAGACAGATGTGTGGATGGCTGGACAGGGGGGTGGAGGGAGGGAGGGGAAATGAGCACAGGCTCAGCCTCGTGTGGGCATCTGAGGGCCGAGCAGGGCTGTGGCTCTGTGCCCCAAGGGCTGGCTCCATGACATAGCAGCAGAGAACATCCCCCACCAGTGACCATGATCAACACAACAGACTGATCCACATTCCTGAAGGAGGACTTGGAAACAAGGCGTCTAGAGCAGAAGGGTCCCTGTCCCCTGGGCAGCCCCTCACTCTGCCCGGTCCCCTCCTGCTTGGCCACACAGCTTACACTTCTGTCCTCTGCGCTCAGGCATCTCCCCTGTGAGGCCAAGAGCACCCACTGGCCAGGCCAGGCATGGCTTGCTTGGCCCAGACACAGGCCCCAGAGGCCCCTGAACCCACCGCAGGGAAGAATGGGGGTGGCCACTCCCTGAGGGCAGCAGGACTCCCAGCCCAGGGCAGTCTGCGAGCTCCAGTGACTCTCTAGTGACTGACAATCGAGCAGCCCGTCCTCCTCCAAGCCCTCCAGCGCAGCACAGGCCCCTCCGCAGGCCCTGGCAAGCAGAACTGGGCCGGACTCCACGGTGGCCCTCAGAGCCCCTGCCCACTCACCCCCTCTGAACCTTTTCCTGATGGCCCTTCTAGAACACAGAGGCCCCAGGCTGGTGCCTGTGCTTGGGGGAAATGGGTTTCCAAGCTGCAGTCCACAAGAAGGACGGTGGCCTAGGCTGGCCTGGCCTTGAAGAGCCCTGGGCCCTGCAGCCAGCGCCTCCTCAGGAAAGCCCCACCAGGCATTCAGCCTCCCCCAGACCCCGCTCACTGCTCTCAGGAATGTGCTTCAAATGGAGATTTGAAAAATGAAAACCGGGGCTGGGGCGGAGTCCAGAGGCAGAGCACTTGCCCAGCTCAAGGGAGACACCGGGTTCCATTTTGTGGCAAAAATATATATAAAATAAAATGAAAATGGAGGCAAAGAAAAAATGGAGCCCACAAGAACCTTCTGCGCTGTCCTGCTAAACGTTAAGTGTGACTTACGGGGGGGAGGACAGCGGCACCCTGTGGCACCAGCAGTGGCCACCCAGAGGTGTGCCAGGCCCTCTGCAGAGACACCGCGGGAGCAGAAGAGAAAGCCTGTCCCACAGTGTTGCAGGCCACAGCCCGCATCCCAGGAACCCGGGGGCCAGGGGCTGCAAGAACAATGGAGCCTATGCTGGGAGGGCTGGCAACGGACTTGTCAAAGGAGGGCCAGGGTCAGCCTCCAGCAAGGTCACATTTGAGCGCCTGGATGCGTGGGGTGGACCCTGTGGATACGCAGGAGAACAGGCGGCCGTCCAGAGCAAGATGGGGCGAGCGGGCGTGTCCCTGCTAGTCACCAAGAGCAGCTGAGCATGAGCTCCTTGCCCAGTCACCTGAGGGGACACAGGCCCCATCCAGCCTTGTCCCTGGTTCACACGGGATGGGGCCACCTTCGTCCTCTTAGCAAACACAAGCTGAACACGCCTGTTCACAGGAAGCTCCCTCGGGAGGGGCACACCCTAGCCAAACAACCCTGCCCAGCAGGACCTCCAGCCACTGCCCTGGACCCTGGCCCTCATCCACCACCTGAGGGGGAGAGCAGGGAAGTCAGGAGCCCCAAGCCCTGGGTGCAATGGAAGACGCGTTCCGTCACCTTCATCCCTGCCTGTGTGTCCCCGTGCACACGCCTACTGGGCCCGGGGCAGCTCCACACCCAGGCCTTTCATTTTTTCCAGGAGTCGATGTAAAAGGAAAACTAAGAGTCACTTCAATTGCTCCTAGCAGGAACTTGTGCCTTGCCACCAAGGGGACAGGAAGGGCCCAGCTCAGGGAGGGAGCAGAGCCAGGCCTCAGGCCTCGATCACCATCTGGCCCTCCAGCGCCCCCCTTTCAGGTCAGCCCCCACAGGGCCTCTCCCCAGCACTGGGCAGCTCCTGCCCGCCCCGCAGTCTCTGGACTCTACGCACCCTCCCTCGTTCCCCAGGTCAAGGGAAGGGCAGTCAGAGGGGCTGCGTCGGGAAGCCCTGGGGAGGCACTGCAGGGGGACCAGCCTTTCAGGATCAGCCTGGACCTGGCCCACCCTGCACCCCACAGCTCCTGCTGCTGCCAGACGACCCTCCAGCTCCTGCCCAGCGCACACCCACACGGCTGCACCCCCTGGATTGTCCGAGGCTCAGGACAAGGCAGGAGCCCGAGGACAGGATCCCCCTGCACCAGCGGCTCCCTCTCCACACTCTGCCCGCATCTACCTCTTGCCTCACGACAGTGCAGCCCCATGGGGACAGGGACCCCAACCCACTCCACCCACGTGGAGCTCCTCGGCCCTCCATGCCATCCATGCTGCCCTGGCCTCCCCAGGCCACTCCCTCCCCAAGACACTCACCGACCACCCGGTCTCCTTGCCTCACACCCATCTTCCTCATGGCCGCGGCAAACAAAGCCACCTGTTGCCTCAGCTCTTCAAAAGTCACCTTCACAATTTCCTCTTTGCCTTCCCCTGGGAGAAGAAAAAGACACGTATACACACACCGTCCTAAAAGAAATGTCCCTTACGCCAGGAATGGTGGTGCACTGGGGAAGCTGAGGCAGGAGGACCGCAGGTTCAGGCCCAGCCTCAGCAACACAGTGAGACCTGTCACCACATAAAATACAAAAGGGCTGGGGATGTGGCTCCGTGATCAACGCCCCTGGGATCAATCACCTGCCACTCAAAAAACAAATAAATAAATAAAAATGATGTGAGCTCAGGGTAGAAAACTTGACTTTGTGCATAAATAAGAAAATTAAACAACCGACCTCACTAGTTACCTAAGAATAAGCGTCAAAACAATAAGACTCTAATTTGCACCAAACAGACCAGTAGGGACGGACGGGAGGGGCCGTGGCCTCCATGCCCATACCAAGGCTGCTACCCTGGTCAGCTCTGCGCAGCCCCTCCCTTGTGGACCAGGCCTGGCTTGAGCAACCAACCAGATGTTGTGGACACCAGAGTGACCTCAGAGCTTTGGTCAAAAGAGACACCCAGCAGTGGCGCATGCCTGAAATCCCAGCAGCTGGGGAGGCCAAGGCAGGAGAATCACAAGTTCAAAGCCAGCCTCAGCAAAAGCAAGGCCCTAAGCAACTCAGTAAGACCCTATCTCTAAATAAATACAAAATAGGGCTGGACCCGGGGCTCAGTGGCAGAGTGCTTGCCTAGCATGTGTGAGGCACTGGGTTTGATCTCAGCACCAAATATAAATAAACAAATTAAGTAAAGGCATTTTGTCCATCTACAACTACAAAAAAATTAAAAATAAATAAAAATAACATGATCTGAGCCCAGCATCTGGAGTCTTTGAGGATGGAGTTCCAGGTCGGTTTAAATAAATAAATAAATAAAAAGGGCTGGGATGTGACTCAGTGGCCAAGAGTGCCCCGGTCCTAAAGGTGCAAGGGATCTCCAACACACGACCTTGACTGAGGGCTCTCCGCATTTCCCCATGCCCAGCACAGTATGACCACACAGGTGCCTGACGACCACACACAGGTGCAGAACACCCGCCCAGCCCTGCGACCCTGCAGTGGTGCTATCGTCCTTCCCACATCACACCTGCAGGAAGACTCAGTGCTTCCGCCACTCACCCAAGGTCACATGGCTAATGAGTGTGGCTGGGCCTCGACCTCTCAAATCCAGGCATCCACCCCTTCACCCTGCCTGACTGAACATGGAAACCCTGGGTAAAGACCGGGGTGGCCACAGAGGCAGGGACACTGGCGCCTGTGAGGGCGCTCAGCGGAGACAGGGACCAAAGCAGCCAGGGCCCATGTGGAAGCTGGGGGCCAAGTGCCCTGCACCCCAAGAGCTCTCAGCAGCAGACCTTGGCACGTCCCGAACAACAGAGGCCCGTCCTGACAACAGAAGTTTCGCCCCAGCTCCTGAGGCCCCTTCCCACGGCGTCGTGACATAGCATGTGGCCTCTTGAGAGGCAGCCTAACTCACAGGGGAGAGCTGGGCCACGAGGAACACCTGACCACACGGGGGCGCCAGGTGACTGAACACACTCCAGCTAAGCCAAAAACCACGGCCGCACCCTCACTATGAGCGGGGAGCCTGCCCCCGTGTTCCATTTGCACCGCAGCTTCCAGAAGCTTCTTAGCACCAACTGGGACCCTCTTTCCACCTGATGGTAGAAGGAGAAGCCGAGGGAAGAAACTGCAGCTGCCTGGGTGGCTCAGGCCACTCAGTGGCATCTCCACTGCTCCTGGCGCTCCCCTCCCAGGGAAAACCAAGGTCACAGTCTTCCTTCTCTGGGGGAGGTATCAGCCTGTCCGGTGACGATCCCAGCCTTCGGTTCCTGCATGCTTCAGGCCCCTCAGAACGCTCAGTGCCACAGGCATGCCTTTGTGCGCCACCCAGAAAGAACCCCTGGGCACTCACTGGCCACGTAGAGGGCCACTTTGTCGTTCTCCTTGTGCCTCAGGAGGTTCTCTGCGTAGTTGAGACGACTGCCTTTGAACCACTCGGGGACGTCCGCGATCCCTTTCGACGTGTCCACGACCTGCAGAGGACAGAAAGCCAAGATGCACACACATGTGCACGCGCGCACGCCCACACATACACACACACACACACATGCGGCGCGTACTCAGCAGGATTGCACCATGAACAGGTGAAAGCTACTGCCAAGGGAAGCTGACTCATTCACTGCCCAAAGCCTTATCCAGTTTTCATTTTTTTTTTAATTTACTTTGCTACTCTAATCTACTACTTTATTTATTTTATTTATTTATTTTTGGGTGGTGCTGGGAATTGAACCCAGGACCTTCTGCATGCAAGGCAATCACTCTGCCAACGAAGCTGTATCCCCAGCCCTAGTTATTTTATTTTACTGTATCATGGATTGAACCCTGGGGCACAACCACTGAGCCACATCCCCAGCCTTTTTATCTTTGAGACAAGTCTTTCTAAGTTGCTTACAGTCTCACTAAGGAGTTGAAAAGTTCTTTATAAAATCCAGGCCAGTTTAAGTCACTACATCAATATGTATGTGCTTACTACTGTTGAACCATACTCTATAAAATTGCTATAAGGGTAAATTTTATGTGTATTTTACAGTCAAAACAATTTGAATACAGCCAGACAAGGTGGCACACGCCCACAATCACAGCAGCTGGGGAGACTGAGGCAGGAGGATGGCAAGTTCAAGGCCAGCCTCAGCAACTCAGCAAGGCCCTAAGCAACTTAGCATGACCCTGTCTCTGAATAAAACATGAAAATGGGCTGGGGAGGTGGCTGAGGGGCAGAGCACCCTGGGTTTACTCCTTAGCAGGGCTCAAGCTCCCAAAAGAGCCAGGGATGCACCAAGCAGAGCACTCACAGACAGCAGGCTCTGGGGGCAGGGGCCTAGACTAAACCTGCTCTGGGTCTGGATTTTCCCCGCCAACGTGAGGATTTCAAAGGAGAGACAACCCAGCATTCCCCCAAACGGGCACCTCACCATGAAGAGCGCGAGGCAGGATCTCCACTTACCTCGTCGTACATGCGCGAGAAGACGATGCCACTGAATTCCCAGAACTCTGCCCAGAAGTCGGAGTACGACTCCACTGACCAGTGGTACAGGTCGTCATAACTCTCTAAGAACAAAAGGAGACGGCTCAGGGCTCAGGGACGTGTGGTGAGAGGCTCATCAGGCCAGCAGGAGTGTCATGGCCATGAAAGGGGGTGGCCCAAGGAGGAGCCCCACCAACGGGAGCAAGCCCTCTGCCACCTGTCCCCAGAGGAAGTGTCACCCTGGAGCCAGATGCTCCCCACCTACACAGAGGCAGGATTAACAGCCCCCCAGGGGATTTAAATGAGCACATGTATAAAGAGCTTAGCGCAGGGCTGAGCAAGCCTGTGCCCAACAGACCTGGAACACGGCGGGCCAGAACCACTAGCTTGTTGGTGGACTTCCTGCCAGGACAGGGTCCCAGGGAGGGGCTGTTATTTATTGTGATTTTTTTAATAAGTAAGACATTCATATGATTTAGCATTACAAAAATATAACAAGCCTCCCTCTTGCATCCCACAACCATCTACTCTCCTTGTCCAGAGATCGCCACTTACAGGGATTCTCCGTGTCTTGGCAGAGAGTGAGTGACATGCCCCTCCCCAACCCTTCCACTCCTGCAAGCCCACTGGTCACACCAGGCTCCCGTGGGGACATCTCTTCTGCCTTTGGGCCCTTCCAATTTTTCTTTTTTTGGGGGGCGGGGGGGCACTGGGGACTGAGCCCAGGGCAGTCTGCCACTGAGCCACAGCCACAGCCCTTTTTATGTTTTTTTGTTTGTTTGTTTGTTTTTGAGACAGGGTCTCATTAAGTTGCCCAGGCTGGCCTCCAACCTGGGATCTTCCTGCCCTGGCCTCCTGAGTCACTGAGATTATAGGTGTGCGACACCTCATGCACCGCCACGTGTGGCCCTTGGTGAGCTTCCAACAGGATACTACCTTCACCAGCATTTGCAAATCTAGAGAGGACTACCGGCTCCCTCACCCCTGGGTTCACCTGGGATCAATAGTAACATTTCCTCTCTCTTCTCTCAAAGAGATTATGGGAGAAAGGAGTGTGTGTGTGCAATTTTGTATCGCAAATGCAGCCTGCTTTACCCTCTGTCCTGTAACTGGCATGTCTCACTGAAGACACACCACAGACCTCTCCACTTCGGTGTGAGGGGAGCTGCCTCCTCCCTGGGTGTAAGGGCTGCCCGGTGTTCCACTTGGGGAACCAGGACTCAGTCAACCACACTCCTCCAGGATGTCTGGGTTGTCTCCGGGCTTCAAAGACCAATTGTACATGGCTGTAGCTGTCTTTTTCTTTTGGGGGGAAGTACTGGGGATTGAATCAGGGGCACTCACCCCTGTGCCATGTCCCCAGCCCTTTTCTGTATTTTATTTAGCGACAGGGTCTTGCTGAGTTGTTTAACGCCTCGCCTTTACTGAGGTTGGCTTTGTACTCATCATCCTCCTGCCTCAGCCTCCTGAGCCTCTGGGATCATAGGCATGTGCCACCATGCCCAGCAAAGCTGTAGCCTTTAACAGGACAAGAGCAACACAAGTTTGCAGAAGAAATCCAAATTACCTGAGACGGACAGTCATCGACACATAGCTGAACCCAATGCCTCAGAAATCAAGGCCAACCTGAGAGGGACAGAGGCGCACATCTGGGAGCAGGAAGGAGAACCCCAGGGGCCGCCGAGAAGCGGCGGTGAAGTTAAAAGACCACTGTCCCTCCAGGCACTGTGGCGCACCCCTGTAATCCCAGCAGCTCAGAAGGCTGAGACAGGAGGATCGCCAAGTTCAAAGTCAGCCTCAGCAACTTAGTGGGGTCCTGTCTCAAGATTTCAAAAAAATACATATATTTGGTTTTGTTTGTTTGCTTAAAGGGCTTGGGGACGTAGTTCAGTGCCATCTAGATGAAACGGGAAACAGAGCTGGATCTCATCCCTACAGGAGGCCTCACTTCTCTGTAAACTGCCCCCAGTTGGCTGAGGGCTTCACCCTCCACGTCCACAGGGTCCAGGTGACTAACCAAAACGAACCAGCAATCCTGAGGTAGAGGGGACCGCTGTGCGCTGGAGGCCCAGGGGAAGCCCCAGGCACAGCCCACTGGTGGGACACTGGGACAGCAGGAAGATGACCGACCAGAGCACACTACACCAGCTACGCTCAATCATCACGGCGGTCCACACACCAACACTACCTCTCCTCACAGGCCCCAGGCCTGAGGGGCAGAGGAAGAGGCCTCATGACACTGAACTTGGGCAGTGTCCCTTCTGACTGTGGGGTCCGGTAACTTCTCAGGCATGCTGGACTCGGGGGGACAGGGCCAGGGCTGGCCTGGCCGCAGGACACAGTCTGGACACTCAGGTCTTATGGGCTACAGCAGTGCCAAGAGCCCAGGTGGAGACAGCTGGTGTGGGCAGGGGCGGGGGGGGGACACCAATCGCCCTGAGGGAAGCAGGGAACTCAGAGGCCAGAGGATCGCTATCAGAGGCAGACCCCAAGGGCCTTAGGGCTCCAGGCCCAGAAAGCAGGGATCTGGTTCACAGCAAAGATGCCCAGACAGGGCCCCAACCAGGAGCATCCAGTCAGGGCCTCAGGAAGGCTGTGGCTGGCCTGACTCCAGCCACTTTGCCCGGGAACCCAGGCAGGCCACTTTGCCTCCGGGGACTCAGTTTCCCTCAAGGGTCACCTTGAAACTACTGGTAGACCCCTGGTTCCTCCCACACGGGTGCAGTGGTCACCTGGGCTCCAGGGTCAGGCTGGATGGCCAGGGTCGAATCTGGCTCTGCTGCTCCTAGAGGGTGGCCGGGGCAAGCCGCCCCACCTGGGAGCCTCAGCACAGGGCAGCTACAGAGGCTCCTCTGAAAGGTTCTTGTGAGTGTGGAGGTGCAGCTGAGCAGCAGAGCACTCCCAGCACGCTCAGGGCCCCAGGGTTGAGCCTCAGGACTGTGAATGAATGAATGAATCAATCAATCAAAGGCTCTCAGTAGAGGTGCGGTGGTGCACACCTGAATCCCAGCTACCTAGAGGCTGAGGCAGGAGGAGCACAAGTTCAAGGCCAGCCTCTGTGACTTTGTGAAACCTTGTCTCAAAAAAAAAAAGGTGGGGGTTAGGGATGCAGCTCAGTGGTAGAGCACCCCTAGGGTCATCCAGAGCTGCAGAACAAGCAAATAGAAAAGGTCATAGGGTTGTGGTGAGGACCTTCTTGGGACAGGCTCCTAAGTTTAACTGGGTTTGAATCCTGCCACTCTAATGGGGTAACCCTGACATATTACTTCTCTGTGCCTCAGTTGTCTCCTCCATAAGAGGAGGATAATGGTACCTATCCTAGGGTCACTGAGTCAGAACACAGGAACTGCTTGGGACTGTGCTCAGCAGAGAGAGGGTGCCCAGAGGTGTGGCCTGGCATCACCCCACCATCTGTAGGAAAGTGGCACACCCAGCCAGCCCGTGCAGACGGGAGGCACAGCCCAGGAAAGTGCTAATTAGCAGGAAGATGGCTCCTTGCTCCTTGGTCGAGAGGGAGGAAGGCCAGGTGCTTCTCAGAGAGGTGGCCCTGGCACCTGTGGGAAGCGGCACTGGCTGAACAGAGAAAGTGGCACATGCAGAATGTCCCCTGGGGCCTTGCAAAAAAGGATCACATACACAAGTTGGGCTGGAGCTGCAGGCCGCATCTGAGGAAGTTTGCATCAGGGGACCCTGAGCCCCACATGGCTGTGCAGGGAGCCTCAGACAAGCTGGCTGGGAGCAGTGGTGGAAAGGAAGCAGATGACTTCACCAAGGCCCTGCACCTCCTGAAATCCAGGGACAGCAACCTCCCACCACTGGCACAATGGCACAGTAGCCAGCCTGTTCCCACAACTCAGGAGGCTGAGGCAGGGGGATCACAAGTTTGAAGCCAGCCTTGGCAACTTGGCAAGGTTCTGTATCAAATAAAATCTGGGGATGGAGCACAGTGGTAGAGTGCTTGCCCATCATAGTGAGACCCACGGTTTGGACCCCAGGACCAAAAAAAGAAAAAGAAAATCTCCTGCCCAAGGTGCAAGGAGAGGCAGCCAGGGTGGGGAAGGCCCCTTCCTCCCTGCACAGTCCAGGGCTGGGGCAGCTGGGGATGCAGAGCTCTGCACAGAGCCACTCAGTGGCACACTCCAGGCTGTGCCAGCTGTGAAGAGCCGCAGCAGGAGGGCTGCTGTGCAGCAGTAAGAATGCCCACAAATGCAGGAGCAGACAGGCAGGACCAAAGCCCAGACCACATGCACCTGGAGAGCAGAGGAAAGGAGAAAATATTCAAAGGAAAGATGGCCTTTGAGTTAGACCTTAAGGCAAAGCCCCAAACCTCCAGGAGCCAGCATGTGAAAAGGGAGAAGTAGGTGGGAACACATCACCTGGAGTGTGCCCCAGAGGAGGAAAGAGCCAAACAGCGTGGACCCTTCCCTGTCCAGACCACAGGGAGCTCCTCACCGCTCCCACTGAAGTGCCAGGTGGGTGCAGACCAGTGCTACAGGCCCTGGGGTTTCAGGAGCTGGGAAGCTTGATTTTCATATGCAGCCTTCCAACTTTATTTTTTTAGCCTTCCAACTTTTAAACACTGGAAGCTCAACACCACATCTGCAGGTCAAATCTGGCCCAGGGGCCAACAGTCCAAGAGCCTGGACAGAGGGAAAAACTGGGAGCCACCAGTGCTGGCTGATGTCTGCCTAGCAACCCACAGGCCAGTAGCAGAGTTGCACCTGGACCTGACCATCTCCTGGCACCCTCACAGGCACCCAGTGCCACAGACCCTGAGGAAACAGCTTGGGCTAACTGATGACTTCCTCAGTTAGCCCAAGTGCAGTCAGTTAAAAATGCAGGTAGTCAGGTTACAGGTCCCTTTCTTCTCCACTTGCTGGGAGCAAGGAGGTTTTGCCCACTCCCAGGGCTGCCCCTGTACGAAACTGTGTTGTAAAGCTACCAGGGGATCAGTATTAGATGATGCTGGCAGAAGAAACAGACGAAATGAAGGGAGACACAGAAAAATGAAGTAACTCCCCAACACAGCCTGCTGGGTCCCCCTGAGGTCAAGTCCAACCACAGCCTAGAAGCCTGAAAGTGGTAAGAAACACACCCTGTCCAAGTGGGGGGAGGGGAGTGGAGCTGGGTTGGTCTGGGCAAGGAAAGAGACCCTGTGCAAGGGCCACCAAGCTAAGGGGAACCTGGGAGCTGCCAGGAGCAGTGTGCACTCCCAAGGTCAACAAGGAACCATGGAGAGTTTCTGGGCCAAGGAGTGACAAAGTGAGACCTGTGCTTCAGGATCATTCTGGCAAAGCAGGCAGGGTGTGCTGAGCAGGGAGGCGGGGAGCAGGAAGCAGGAAGAGCAGCCCCGGCTCAGAGAAGAGGGGAGGAGGCTGCAAGGAGAGGGCTGGCTCCAGGCTTCAGGAAAGCCATGCTGGGGAGGGAGGCTCCAGGCTGCAGGGCCAAAGACCCCACTGCATTTTTGTGAAGCTGATAACCAGGAGAGCGATGTCACCAACAGACATGAGGGAGACCCTGCAGCTGAGAAGGGGGGGGGGGGGGGGGAGAAGGCCAGGATGAGTTAAAAATCCCTGAGGACACCCAGGGCCACCAGGAGCAGGCAGCTGCACAAGCCAAGCCAATGAGTGCCCAGGAAGGAGCAGAAGTCCCTCACCCAGAAGAGGGACCTCTATCCATGCACATCAGACAGGGGCTTCTGAGGGCCAAAGGATGGCTGGAAGGAGGATGTGTTTGGAGGCTAGGAGTTTAAACATAAGAGGAAGGGATTCTACCATCTTCCCAAAGGTAGGCTGCTATGGCACATCCCACTGGGTGCTAGGGAATCCATGCTGGCCTCTAGTAAAGGCGGCTTGGAAATCAGAGGGGGTTGACACTGGACCCCACCAACAGTACAGCAGGGAAGAGCCCCTACAGGCTGGGAGCCGAGACTCCAGAGGAGCACCGAACAAGTAGAAAACCCGGCAAGGGACCTCAGCCAACAGGAGGCTGTCACCGCCAGAGGAGTGACCCTCCCGGGAGAGGGCGACCCACGTGCCAGGAGATGCTGGTCAGGAGACACGTGGCACCGTGACAGCAGGGGTGCCGCTCCCCAGGGACAGGAGCACGCCCCGCGTCTGGAGGACGCCACCCCCAGGAAAGGTCCCGGCGTCCGGTTGCTCCTCCGATCGCAGCAGCGGGACACTGGACCTCAAGAGCGCATCCCAACCGCAAGGAGGGGCCGGGACCGCCACGCCCTTGGAAAAGGGCACGCCCTGCCCAGGAGGAGAGACCCTCCCTCCGCCCGGTTGGTCCCGGGACCCCAGAGACCCTCTTCCGGAGGGCCCTGGGGTGGCCGGTGCCCGCGCCCCGCACTCACCCAGCGCCAGGCCGCAGGCGGCGCCCACGGCCGCCCGGAAGCGGTCCATCTGCGTGTCCCTCTTGCTGTCAGGCTCCCACATCACCTGGCACTCCATGATCTCCTCGCGCCCGGGGCGCGCCTGCCTGGACATGGCTGCGAGGGCTGCGCGGGCTGCGCCGGGGACGGAGTCGCACGGCGCTGCGGTCTGCAAGACTGAGCCGGCGCTGCTGCGGCCGCCCGCGGGACACCCGCGAGGCCACGCCCCCGCGGGCCCCTCCCAGGACAGGTCACGCCCACCGCTGTAACCCTCCGCCGAGCCGCGCCTCGGAAAGGAGTGCTGGGCGCAGGCGCGCTAGGCCGCCGCCCGCCCACACCTGCGGCCCGGCGGTGCGAGCAGCTCCCGGGGCTCGGCGTGGTTTTCTCCCTCGCTGCTGGTGCGCTCCTGTGCGGACGCTTACTGAGAGCCTGCGGCGTGCCGTGCACCGATAGCGGGTGGGGGACAGGAGGGGGTGACAGTGCAGTGGTCGGACAGCTGCCTTAGTCCACACGGTGTATCCGGGAGTGTCCTTGCCGACATTGTGCAGCGGGGCGTGTAGTGTATAGAATCTGTCCAAAAAAAGGCACTGAGCCGGGCGCGGTGGTGCACGCCTCCAGCGACATGGGAGGTCCATGCAAGAGGATCCCAAGTGGGTGGTCAGTCTCAGCAATTTTTTGTGAGTCCCTAAGAAATTTAGCCAGAGTCTGTCTCCAAATAAACAAAAAAGGGCTGGGGATGTGGCTCAGTAGTTCGGCACCCCTAAATTCAATCCCTGATTAAGGGACAAACAACAACAACCAAAAAAAAAAAAAAAAAAAAAACTTTTTGAGTTCTATGGAGAGAAAGCCAGGGAGCGGTGTAATCCCTGGAAGAAGATGTGTGTCCATTTAAATAGGGGTGCCAGGAAAGGCCCCTCTGGAGGTGGACTTCTACTTGAGACTTGAAGAGGTGACACCAGTGAGCTATTCCGTATCTGGGGATAAGTTTCCAGCATCAGGAACAGCCAGTGATCGGGCCTGTTCCTGTTGGGTGCCGTAGGGAACTTGGGTGCCTTTGACCTGAAAGACCTGGGGGAAAGAAAGGTCATCCAGGAAAGAGGTGGTAGCTCAAGTGGAGCCTGGGACCAGCAGAGAATTTGGCTTTGACTCTAATGAGATGAGAGCATTGAAAGTGTTTTTTGTTTATTTGCTTTTGTAGGGGGAGGTCCTTGGGGCTGCCCAGTAAAGAATAGTCTATCTTGTTTGGCTTTTTTGTTTGTTTGTTCTTTGTTGTGTGGACAGAGAGGGCGAGGAACAGGTGGACCCTGCAGCCCAGAGCCTTTCCTTCAGCATTAATCCCCTCTTGTGGAGGGGGTGGAGTCCTCCCACCTAAACACTCCCTCTGGGTCCCACCTCCCTACACTGCAGCATTGGGTACGAAATTTCCAATGCATGAACGTTGGGGACACGTTTAAATGATAAGTCTTCGATAAGTCTTCCGGAGGAAAGGTAGAGCAGTTATGATCATGTTGCAAGGGATGATGTTGGTGGCCAGACTCAGGTGACAGCTGGGAGAGAAGAAAGGGGGCTGAGGGTCTGTTTTGGACGCTGTCCCTGGGTTCCATGTTCATGTGTTAATGGTGTCAATCAGCAGCAGTCCCATGGCTTCCCACAGACAGAGCCCTTTGCTGCGTTAGAGTGGATGCAGCAATCCCCTCCCCCACCTTTTGTCTTTAACAGTTCTCCCGGCCCCACAACTACATTCAAACTTAAATCCCCACAACCACATTCAAACTTGCTGTGCACCATGACTTCCCTGATCTCCAAGTTTTAGGACCGCCTCCAGGTCCCTGTGTCTGCTATGGTTTGTTATGGACAATATGCAATGGCAAAAGATGATGGGAATCTCATTTTTCTCAAGCGTCTCAAACCGTGGTGTGTCTTTGCACCTATAGGAATAAATGGGTGTTCAGATAAAACTGGGGAAAACGAAATTCCTGTCTTGGGGAGAGAACCCTAAGAAAATCGACCTGATGGACGCGGACCCTCAGTAAGATCCACACTGTGTCCTTGCAAATGGACTCCCAGCTCGGAAGTCCACAGGCCTGGCTGTGCCCAGGCTGGGTCTGTTTCCCCGGTAGAAGCTTCATCACAGGCTCGCAGGAGCTTTTCTTCCCCGAGATGAGGAGTGGCCGTCGGTGGGCCCAGCCCAATGGACACTCACTGCAGGATGGCTTAGCCACTGGGAGTCCAGGCTCAGGGCTGCTGCCTGAGGCCGTTTGCCTGCAGTGCTCACCAAGGCCACTTCCCTTTCTCCCTGGGGGCCTCTGTTCACTTGAGGATGTTCATCACCTCATGGTTCAGTTGAGGCCACCTGGTTTTATGATATGAAGCCACCAGTAATGACAAGAGACTGTCAGAGCCCCATGCCAGGACGCCTCTCTCACAGGAGCCATGATGGCAAAGTTAGAACCCTTGATTTCGAAATTAAACAGCTTATTGCCCAGGCCGCCAGCCAATGCTGCCCAAGGTGAAACCTGAATTTGGGGCTTGGACACTCAGAAAGGCTGGCAACCTCGGACTCCACTTAGCTGGAGCTTAGAAGCGGTTCCCACACCTGAGAAATGGGAATGTTCTCCTTAATCTGTTCCGGTCCCCACCAAGCCCCCATGTCCCCTCCACATTTTCAGACTTCCCCTTTTAACCTTTTTTCATCAAAATCATTCAGCTGGGGAGCCTCATATTTTCATGTGAGCACATGGGGATTTGCTGTCTGGGAGGAGACGTGATGCTTGGAGTCTTGCATCCGGGGAAGGGCTCCTTCTTACTCTTCAGGGCCCAGTTTTTTTAAAAATGTCTTAGAATTAGGCTGCATGGTGAGAGAAGGTAAAGAAGAAACCCTTTGCCATGGGTTTTTGCCTCCTTGAATCAGCTTCCAACCAGGAAGAATATAAATCCATCCACTCAACACTGGATTATGTCTTTATTGAGCACCTACTACGCTCCGGGTGCTATTTTAGTGCTTGGGATGTAATATGCAATGGCAAAACGGGGGGTGGGGCTGATGTGACTTTCATTTTGAGAGGATCATCTGGCTGCTGCATGGTCAGAGGGTGCAGATGGATTTGGGACAGAGGGAGCACTGTAGGCAGGCCTGGGGGAGGGCCACATATTTCAAATTCCCATGTGGCATGTGTTGACTTGGACAAATGGATGGGAAGAGGCAGATGAGGAGGCTCTTTACCCACTAAGTGGGACGTGCCTATCCACAAGTCTGTAAGGGTTTAACCCTGTAGGCTCACAGGTGAGTTCACCTTTAAACAGCTGTAAATCCCTAGTAGCTATATGCACAGAGAGGAGTGGGAAGTGGACCTAGCAGGACATGCTGGGGGACCAGAGAAGCCTGGAGCTCATCAGGATTTCCTCTTTTGGCCTCCAAGGAGTGTTGTGCCTGCTCTCCCCGATGCCTCAGGGGCTGTGGAAACCAGGCAGCTGCCAGTGACCCAGGGCCAGAGGCACCTGTGATGTTACAAAGCTCAGCCTCTTCCGCCTCCCTGGCCCCAACAAGAAAGCGAGACGTGGCCCCGAACCCAAGGGGAGAAGGCGCTGAGGGGCCCTGGGAAATACTGGGCAGCAGTGAAAATGCCTTCCGGGCACAAGGCCAGCTGACCCCCAGAATGGCTGGCCAAAGAAAGCCAATCTAACCCTGCGCACGGTGAGAAGCTCCAACTCAAGCCAACCCCAGAAGGCCCTTGTTGGGAGCACACAGGTAGAAAAATAAAGGAAAGCACTGAAGCTCTGTGACCTCCAAGTCACCTGGTTCTTCCAAGAGACCCGAGGCGGGAAGATTTAGGGAGGGATTTACAAAGACCCTGCTCATGCCCACTGAGCTGGGCAGGACACCGTGGGTATATACAGTTCTAGAACTGTACAGACACACTGTGCTCAGTCTTTGAATATTTTGCACATCTCACAGCTTACAAAAATAAACAAAAGCAGGTCCCGAACATCGGCTGATTTTTTTTTTTTTTTTGGTACTGGCATTGAACCGAGCTCTTTTTTTGTATTTTATTTACAGACAGGGTCTCGCCAAAATGCTTGGGGCCTGCTAAATTGCTGAGGCTGGCTTTGATCCCAAGCCTGTGGGATTACAGGCGTGTGCCCACCGAGCATGCTGATCTTAAGAGTCTTACTTCAAGCCTGAGTTGAAAACGTAGAAACAAATGAAAAGCCCAGCAACGGGGGAAACAGGGGATAAAGCAGCTTTTGAAGTAAAACTCACTAAGATCAGAAGGCTGAGGTCGGAGGTCACCTGAGAAGAGGAGTTCAAGCCTGGGCAACATGATAATGCCAAAGAAAGAAGAGTTAAACCCTTAAACATTCCTATATATTCCTATATATATATATATATATATCCTAAACTTCAATATATATGTATAGAAGAAAAACTAGGATATTGTAGTGGGTGGGAAAGTGATGGCCCCCAAAAGATATATCACCTGGAAACTGTGAGTGAAACCTTATTTGGAAAAAAAATCTTTACAGCTGTGTACCAGGTAAAAGACCTTGAGATGGGAGATCATCTTGGATCACCTTATAAGAGACCCCTGTAGTCAGATGTTGGGTCTGGCGCCTGTGGTCTCAGCTACTTTGGAGGCTGAGGCAGAAGGATGACTTGCACCCAGAGTTTGAGGCCAGCCTCAGCAACTTAGTGAAACCCTGTCTCAAAAAAAGAAAAAAGCTGGCTGGACCCGGTGGGCACTCTGTAATACCAGCGGCTCAGGAGGCTGAGACAGGAGGATCATAAGTTCAAAGCCAGCCTCAGCAAGGGTGAGGCACTAAGCAACTCAGTGAGACTCTGTCTCTAAATAAAATACAAAAAAGAGCTGGGGACGTGGCTCAGTGGTCGAGTGCCCCTGAGTTCAATCCCTGGTACCAACTACAACAACAACAAAAAAGGAACAGGGGGAGGTCATGTGATGCACAGGCAGAGACTGGAGTGATCCAGACACGCACCAAGGGACCTAGGACACTGAAGAGTCAGAAAGAATCCTCCCCAGAGCCTCACGAAGGAGTGTGACCCCGCCAACACCTGGATTTTGTCCTTCTGGCCTCTGCCCCCAGTTGGTGTGCTCTGTCATGGGGCCCTAGGAAGCCAATGGACATTCATTCAACTGTGAGCAGTGGTTTCCTTTGGGGAGGGAGGACTGCGGGGGTGTC